TGACAGACTCGAATCAATAGTTTGATTCTTCGCAGTGTCTCTTTGTTCTCAGTTACGATCTTGCACGTAAAATTAGATGTCATGTGATTGCTCGGCATAGTGGTGGCGCGAGCAGTACTCTTATTTATTCATTTTTTATCAAGCACTATGGAAGGGTTGGATGGAATTATTGCGTTCATGTCTTAAGTGACGGTATCATGCAGGATATAAAACTGATTAGGCCAAGCTACTTAATGATACTTCATGCTCACTAAGAAGCGCTTACGCCTTGAGGTTTCATTTCTGATGTTTGACGTAATTTCTCGTAAATAATTAGTTCTATAAAACTGGTCGAAAAGGAAAACACTAGGCACGTCTGTAACAATACATCATCAATTGGCATTGATTTTCTCTTGTAAACGTTCTTGCTGTCTTATTATTCTATAAATTATGATTGAACTCATGAACAATTTTAGTTTTTACTTATGTGACTTGTACCCACAACATCTTGTCGTATCATAGCAGAATGAACGATCATGACAGAGTCGTGCGGTGTAATGTCATGTACATAAATGCGTAAATTATATTAATTGAGCGTGTTCAGCCGGCGCGCGATAAATAAGAAAGTAAATGCATCTGGATCTTGTATTCCTGAGTTAATATAATGCATGTTACATACGACCCCCACATCAACCAGTTAGTTGCTCCGTCCGTTTTAAAGATCGCTTCCCTTCAACATTAATAGTCGCTCCTTTATACATCACGAGTCGCGCTGTTCCAACACACCTTATCGCGACAAAAATATCAATAGGGAGACCAACTCGCGCTACTTTATCAGCCGCGGTGCGATGATAGCCTTGGTAGAATTTCAGCTTGTAGACAGTGCGATTATCAATGCATCAATTTTGACACCTTCTTCTCGATGTCATTTTTTACGAATTGATGCGCACAACCATTCTTTGCTATCCTCATACTTTCTTTACCCGGTTGTGCAAATTTAAAGCTTACTTATCGACAAAAGCATCAGCAACAAATGATCACAGGCATAACTTTCTGATTTTTTTGAGCACCTTTGATGCAGTTTAATCATTTCCTGTAACTAGCCTAGTACCCAATCTTTTACCATTCGTTATATTAGCGTGACGTACATGAGCTGAACCGGAGATTAAAATTTCTGGTAGTGCACAATTGTCGAGAACCAGTTTCACTATGAGCATCTGCAGCGAGTAGCGCCACTCTTACCACCACATTTTGTCTCGACACAACCTTTACACTCTATGTAGACCCGATCAGTACGCTGTTTTTCTTACAAACTTTAATATTTTGTTTCCATCGCCGGTAAGCTTCATAAAGCGGTTTCGTCTACTTAGTGAACCTCGACCCCTTTCTCAAAAAATTTAGCAGGATAAGAGATTTTGCGTGGAACACTTTGCGTAAAAAACGTCAATCAATATGTTTTTTCTAAATTTCATTCACAGTAGCTTGTTAGTCTATTCACTCTCTTAACCACAATAATCGAAAGGTGGTGTAAAGAATGAAGAAAAATGTTTATTGAGACGACAGGGTATCCGAGATGTACAACACGTTATCGTGACACAACTTATAGAACGGGTGCTATTTTTTTCGGACACAAACAGGGAGTTATTCAATGAAGCAAATCGTTTATTATAACGCAATCCATAGAGCGTAGGAGCAATTTACAGGTATTTCATTAATACAATTGATGCAAAACTGGACGATTTGTTAGATGCGCGTCTTACATACCGTCCAGTTCCGCATCAACCGTGTCAATCAAACAGTAAAATGACTTTGTTATAGATTGCGGGGGAAATTTTCCGGCCACCGATGAGCCATAATGTGTCATGAATGGTCCTTGTTTTCGTAAAACACGAATACGAAGACCGCATGATTCATGTAATTAGACATATTGCCTTAAAGGAACATTAGATCCGACTGCCAGCTCTACCGCCACTCGGCTTTTGCTGATCGCGCGTCAAAAGCGCGTCATCGTTCCCGGAAGCCTGTGCGATGAACTAATTCGTCAATATCATCTGAGTCTCAGCCATCCTAAGACCCTTAACATGTCGTGCTTTCCCACAGGATCATTTTCAGGTGGCGATCTATCGCTATGGATGCTCCTGGACTCGCTGCTCGGTAGCACTAAAGATCCGATATCCAGTGAAGGTTTGCTATTGGCTATGCTGCCTCCTCGCCAGACGCAACCACGCTATGGCGTGACGGTTCAAGTCGAGCGTTTTAGCATCGAAGACCACAGTGCAGTGCACAGAGTACTGGTCCGTCGGAAGTGTCGAGATGAGTGGCGGAACACGGTCAGTTTTACAATGCTGGTATTGATAGCATTTTCGACGCCAGGAAGGAGCGTTGATTAAACAGTTGTAAAACTGGACCGTCCAAGATGCGATGAAGCTGTAATACCGTATCACAAACACAGTTAATGGCTTGTCTGCCAGTCAAAAGATGATGGTGAGAGTGTTGTAAGGCACTTAAGCTGTAGAAATCAAAACACAAAGTAAATTTATTTTGGGTCGTACTTCGCAATCTCTTTTTCTAGTCTAAGCCTACTGGATTTTCTCAGTAACACAATCGTAATCGCTGTATCGTGCATTACTAATCGTGTAGTCGCGTACTAGTAATCTCTATGGCGCGCATTACTAATCGCTACGTCGCGCATTACTAATTGCCTGCACGTACATTCTTGAGGTTGTCGTTTGCATGCCTAGTCGCTTCTTTTATAGCGCTCCCACTGGACTCGGTAGAGACAGCAACAGTGATGCCAATTTTGTACGGAGGGTGGTTAATTGTGGCGCTTCGATTGCCTCGGTCATGATGTCAGCGAGCACATCTTGCGTCGGACAGTACTGTAGCACGACTTGATTCTTCTCGACCTTTATCGCACAAAGTGGTGGTGAATGTCGATGTGCTCGGTGCGTTTGTGGAACTCTGGGACCTTTGGTTAACGTAATAGCACCTTGATTGTCTTTATAGATAGTTAAAGCGTCATAACCTGCTTCTTTGCCGAGCTCAAACATGAACATCTTGAGCCACATCGCTTCTCGGGTTGCCTCCGACAGTGCCATGTACTCTGCTTCGTTAGACGAGAGCTCCAAGCTGCGAGGTTTCTTGTTACGCCAGCTGATACAGCCGTTGTTAAGCACAAAGCGTAGCCGCTGGGACTTCGTCTAGTATCAATATCTCCAGCCCAGTCGGCATCGGAATAACCAAGCAACTTGCCATTGCCAGCGCCGGTAAAACGGATGCCAAGTGTGGGAGTCGCTTGCAGGTTTCGTAGCCTCGCTAAAGTGCTTTTCAATGTGTCGAAGACGGGTCAGCAGCAAACTGGCTTAGCACACCCACTGAAGCTGCGAGGTCTGGACGCGTGCCTACCATGAGGTACGTCAAGGCTCCGGACGGCACTTCGCTACGGCACTCCCTACATGGTTTACGTGTGCTTGCATCCATCTTTGAACATGCGCTTAGTTAACTTCAGTCCGGGATCTTGCGGTGTCTTGACAGACTTAGAGTCTTGCAAACCGAACTTGGTCAGAATCGATCGCAAGAACTTAGTCTGTCTCATCGACAAATCGCCCGACTTTTCATCGCGCTAGACTTCTGTACCGGAGCAGCACTTAAGCTCACCAAGATCGGACATCTCGAATCGCTTGCTCAATGGACGCTTGGTGGCTGCGAGGATGTCCATGTTGTTGATAGCAATTATGAGGTCGTAGACGTATATAATAACGATTATCATTACCTTGTCGTCACGCTTGGCGTAGACACAGTGATCCATGTCGCACTTGGTGAAGCCAGTATTGCGCATGAACTCATAAATAGTCTGGTTCCACATACGTGGGGATTGCTTGAGTCCGTACAACGCACCCTTGAGCTTGCACACATGGTGTGGATACTTATGTCAACGAATCCATCAGGCTGCTTCATGTAGATCTCTTCTTCAAGCATGACGTTGTAAAACGCCGTTTGGACGTTCATCTGGTGAAGTACGAGGTTGAGCTGCGCGGCGAGGCTCAAAATGGTCCGGATCGACGCAAACGTGGTAACTGGTGTGAGCGGCTCCTCAAAGTCCACACCGTACTTTTGCAAAACCCTTTTTGCCACGAGGCGCGCTTTGTATCGCTCGATAAGTCTATCAACAGTCTCCTTCACCTTAAACTCCCAATTGCTGCTGATCGCCTTGCGATCAATTAGTAACGGCACGAGTCCCTACGTGTTGTTCTTGCACAATGACTGAAACTCTGACTCTCTTGCCACTTTCTTGCGTCGCTGGTTTTCATAGCCGATGGATATGTCATCGGCACTTCATTTACTAAATTCACGATGTTAGTACATTCTTCTTCTTCTTCTGCTTCTCCATGAATAGATGCGAGAAGTGACGACATGGCTTCGAGTGGTGACGCAGTAACTTGCACTGACGATATGTGCATATCACGTGTCCCGGCCCGGCGTACATAGTGTTTTTCTGCTGGTGGTTCTGACAAAGCTTCTAGTGACTGAAAACTCACTCGCGTCTGCTTTCCGAGCGCGCACACGTTTCAAAGCGCCCACTTACCCACAGATGTAATGTCGATGCCGACACCGAAATTCTGCTTCACGATCGCGCCGAGTCCACCATGGCCAATGTGACCAAGACACAGATGCCACAAGAACGACTTGCTCATTTGAGGCTTGTTGGATTCACTTTCGACGCTCGCGCTTTCGACTTTCACAGGTGTCATGCATACTTAAAGAGAACTTTGCTGGCACGCTCGCCGATCTTCCAGCTCTGGTTCTTGAAATCTGCATTACAGGTGCTCGTATCAAACGTCACTGCTGCGACATCCTTGGTGAATTGGCCGACTGGGAAATGGCTACGCGATAGCTTCGGAATGTGTCTTCATCATCATAACTACGTTGTCAGTCTCAATCGCCTGCACGACCCCGTCGTCTGCGAGATGAATGCTTACTGGATCGATAGTCTTGTTGTTTGGCATAAACCGCTTTAGAAATTACATGTTGTGCGTCGCACCAGAGTCTATGAACCATGCTGTATTCTTGACGTTGCCCTCGTCGTTGCTCTCCACTCCAGCTGCATAGAGGAAATCGTTCAAGTTTTCATCTTGGTGGTGCGCCACATTTGCACGCTGCAGACGCTGCCGATCCACTTTGTCATGGATCCATGAGGTACATTCCACGATCCAATGACCCATCTTACCGCAGTAGTTGCACGCGCCAGTATTCTTGAATGGCCGTTCACTACTCTTCCTCTTACCTGTCACGAACGCTTGACCTGTAGCGACCCCGTCACTGCCTTGCTCCTTGCACTTCATCTCTCCATGGTACATCCTAGATGTCACCAGTTCCCACGACAGAGAGTCGGCTCTTGACTCCAAAGCAGTAATGAAAAATGCAAACGACTCACTTTAGCTTCCTAAAAGCGTTACACCAGGTCGTCTTCGCTGACTGATGCACCCACCCCGTCGAGTTGTTCCACCAGTGTCTTTATCTTGTTAATGTGCGAAAGCGCATCATCGCCTTCCTCCATCTTGGCCGTGAAGAAACGGCGACGAAGAAATAGCATGTTGGCTAAGTTCTTCTTTTAAAGTGGCCTTCCAGCCGCGACCATGGATCGTACGCTCCACTTGCCGACCGAACTAGGGGCAGCTGTGAGTCCCCCATCGCAAGACAGATTCGCGAGCGTCTTCCGTAACTTGCGCTTGAACGTTGAATGGTTCAGCTTAGTGACAAGGTGTTCCAGCTTGATCTCCCCGCTTATCACTTCTCAAAGGTACCGCTCCTCTAGCACCGTCTGCATTTTGAACTACCAAGTGTGGAAGTTTGTACCATCCAACTTGCTGGTTCGAGCGTTGGTGGTGGTTGCAGCGTCCAAAATGAAGGCAAAGTCGGCGTCGGGGGCAGAGTCAGCAGAGCTGGGGCTCATAACGTGTTGTAAAGCACTTAAGCTGTAGAAATCAAAATGCAAAGTGAATTTATTTTGGGCCGTACTTCGCAATCTCTCTTGCTAGTCTAAGCCTACTGGATTTTCTCAACAACACAACCGTAATTTCTGTATCGCGCACTACTAATCGTGTAGTCGCCTATTAGTAATCACCATGTCGCGCATTTCTGTTTATCTGCACGTACATTCTTGTGGTTGCCGTTTGCATGCCGAGTCGCTTCTTTTATAACATAAAGAAGGCTTAAGAATTTAAATTGAGATTGATGACATAAAGTGGATGCGATTGTAAATGGCCCAGCGATTAAGCCGCTTGAGTAGTTCGAGACTTACCTGTGACTGAACGTCAGTACAAGCCAATAAAACATAATTCATACTTGCCCAAAATAGAAGCCGCAATCATCGTGTTTGCAAGAAGGCCTATGTTCAAGTAGGCAAGCAAGACTATGGAGATTTCCACCTCGTACGCTTAACCCAGTGTAACGTTTCGACACTATTCATGCTATAAACATTAATTTTGTGGGACTGATGATTGTGTCATTGCAACGATTGGTCACTCAACACGCTAACTGAGAGTAGGTAGCAAACCTGATAAAAATCTCCCACCACATCCAAGAGCTTCGATAAAGAATGGCTGTCCCGCTAACCGCGTCCGGTAGAAGTTATGATTGACAAAGGAACACAGTTTCCCGTTGATAAATTTTAAGGGGTACTCACAGCTACAGATAAAGTCCAAGCCAATCAAGAGAAAGAACCCGTAAGCCAACGCAATTTTTGAATGCGTTCACTAATTTTTTAAATTCATCCGTTGCCACGGTAGATTTGACTAGAAGAAGATAATCAACTATGATGCGGTTGACGTGAGAGCAAGGCTACCACCACACCATTATCTTCGCTTTTTATAGAATAGCTTCTCTTCGGGCAAAATGTGATTACCCTTCAAAACTTTTATACTAACTGGAGATTCATCTCGAAGCGTCGCATTGATGCAATCCTAGCGGGAAATGAACGCAGTAACAACGAACAACTCGAGCATTTCTACAATTCAGGTGACCACGTGGTGCTATGGTTTCCCAATCAGTTCCGTTTCAGAATTTACACCGTGACAGAAGGGCTATTTTCATACGCGCAGTCCATGACAAACGGCACTGTTACCATTGATAAGATCAAGACTACCGTGCGCATCATTATCCGTCGCATTTATCGATGCTAATTCTCTAAGATTATAAAGTGTATTACATTGGGGTTATTAGAATGAATTTCGAGAACAATAGATGATTACACCTCACTGTAATTGACAAGACGATAGCACGAGAAGATGCTTGCCAAAAGAATTGCACCAAACTGAATTAGATTTAATGCTACCAAATTGGCCTATATTATTTTCCTCCTACTTAATATTTATTCCTTATATACTCTCTATGAATCAGGCTCCGCTACCAGCCACTGGGTGTGTATGTTTTTCTGATACACCAAATATGGTTAATTGAGAGCAAGCAATAACAATTCCCATCTAGAATCTCTTCATCTCTGACATAAGTAGGAACAAGTGAGGATGAGTACGTCATGTTCACGATCGCATGGTGATAAGAAAGTAGAACGCAAGAGCCGACGCTGTCAAGATGGAGATAAGCGCTTTCGCGGTGGCTCTGCAAAAGACTGTCGAGCAAGAAGCATGAACTTCAAGAGCTAGCAAAAAGAAAAAGCTGGGGTGCTGACCAACTCGCTGATCAGCTGCTCATGCGGATCAACGGTGATATATTGCGAGAGGTTGAGCGCATCGCCAGAGAACTGTCTGAAATAGAACTCACTTGTTAAAAATATATCTGTGAGGTCAATTTTCTTTTGTTTACGGCAGAATACAGTTAATACTTAGATGAAGAGCTATAGATCCAAAAAAAGTGCCGTGACGAAAAAGTGCAAAGCTACTCGTCATGTCTGTGAGATATTGCGCAAATGCACGCCTAGTTGCCCCAGGATGCACAAGCCATCTCGTAGCTTTAGCAATGTCGCCACTTGTGCCGATCTATGCCTCCGAACTGTCAAGACAAATTTGCGTTTTGTGGAGAACATTGATGAATTGTCCATTATCATAGTTACATTAATAAAAGCACTGTACCGCGTCGGAGATCACTTTGTCGTCTATCACCAACTGTACGCTGGTCCCACTATTGAGAATCCAGGCCAGCTACCAACCGAGGCAGCGAGTCTCCAAATCGATAGTAAAACATATCAGATTCCACCGGTATAATTCTTGCATTTTCTTTTGTTGTGGTGAAGCAGTTTGTACACCAGCATCGTTTTCCATCTCCAGAAATCGAAGAAACGGCTACAACTCCAGCACCACATGAATTATTCGACCTTGAGTAAGTTCTCCTATTTCAATTTTTACATGTGCGCTAGCATTCAATTCAAATCATTCGAGAAGTCTGCTATCTCCAATGCCTGCTTTCTCTGTTCAGAGCGAAGAAGATGAAACCGCGTTTGCACAACCCACTTCTCCTCGAGTTTATCCTTTTTTTAATTCTGCTGGATTCTGCTAGTAAATTCGCCGATGTTGCCGAGGCGAACAAGTATTGATATTTCTCGGTACTTGATTGATCACTCTGCTTACAGTCTTGAACTATTTGTGTAGCTTACTCTAAAATGATTTTTATGTCGTACACCTCCAGCATCGCGCTCATTAAATTTTTAACCAAGAGCAATTCTGATGCTTGGACCCCTTTCATCTTGTCGTGGTGCATTGTCGCAATTTATCGTGGTACCGATCTATATTCAGTATCGTACAGCCTTTGGCCGTTCATCTCCTTTCAGGCGCAATAAAGCACCGAGCTCGTCCAATCACTGAAACCCCTCATTTAAGTTAAAATACAAGTGCTTGCTTTCCTTCTTGATAATGGAGCCCTCAGCCTAAAGACTCATATGTGCGTCTTTTTGTTTTTTAGGCTAAAAGTTTGAAAAGAATTGCTGGTGATTCTGCGCCTGCAACTGTGTAATTCCAAATGGAATTTTGATACACATCGCTTCTCTGTAATAGTCACATCTATTACGATGCCATTGGCAGCCACAAAGTATTTAAGATAATCTAGCCGCTTCCCATACAGAGCTCTGTTAACTCGAGAGGCGGCTGGGCCTTAGAGACACGATCTCGCGCCAAATCTCGCATCAACTTGCCGATGAGTCCATTGTGTCTACCTATAATATTTATACCATGCTCGAATGTTCCAAAATTATTTAATTGAGCAATATCCGCGCTGTTATTTACCGTATCGTTAAAATCGTCAACCTAGATATGTAGTTAAGCAGCATGAAGGTCTTCCAGAAGATTAAGGCCCATTACCTGTAAGCTGGACGTGGTTTTCCATATCATGGTAAATGAGAAGCTGGCTGTATTTGGAGATATTGATCTTACTTCTTTGAACGTTCATTAACAACTATCTTTCGTATTAGCCCATGAGGAGCTTCGCTTTTGCCACCGGTCGCGTCCCTTCAACAACACCAGTCAAGTTCTTTTTCTAGTTGATTTTCATGACTAGTAGCGTCTATTTGCTATCGCTGAACGCACCTTTGACAAATCACTTGTGCCCCCCGCGCTATAGAGTTCACAGATGCTCTCGACAAAATCGATTTTGGAAAACCGTTCTCGGCGGTGAGAACATGTCAATACGTATTGGCGATGTTCAGCTCAAAAAAGAGCTGTTCATTCCAGACATGTTAAGGCCTGAGGCATTAAATTTCCAGTGAGTCGACCACAAGTTATGGTGCAGAGGCTTTGGAAAGTGAGTTGTCGTACATTAGAGCAGGCAAATGTTGACTCGGCAAAATTCCATTGGCGGGCCATACGAAAGGTGAGTTAAACGTGTTCAATTATCCTGTATCGGAAGCAAATCGATCATTCGTTTTATCGATGTACGGACTTGACTTGCAGAAATCTAGCAGATTCTTAATGTAGTAAAAATACGCAATTCAGGACAGAAAATTTGACAGGCCTCGTTATACGTACCAGCAACTAAGAAAGAAACATACATGGTCGAATTTAGTCATTTTCCGCTGCCAGCAGTGAGCTGTATAACTTATGCATGACTAAACGAAGCGTCCGTCGACAGAACTCGAACAAAAACGATGTCGGGACAAGTTCTTTGAGCGAGTGTGAAGCTAACTTTGATGAAGATAGCTGATTTTCTATTCAAAGACTTGTCAAAAGTTTGAGCGGATACATGATAGTGTAATTTTGGTAACAAAATTGCAAACCATCACTTTGTGAACACCTAGTCAATAAGTAAGCACGATTCAGTATGACCTCTGGGACAAGAAATCATTTGTATATAGATGATCACCACCGGGGTAGTCAAAACTTTTATATGGAAAATTGCGCAAATGCAGAATTTAAGGCCCATCTCAAGTATGTTTGATGTCTCAGTGAGCAGCAAATTTTTTATCAAGAGATCTTGACCAATTTTATGGTTTTTGCATTCAAATGATGATAGTCTGTCGACAATTTCTGCTTGAGTAGGAATATCTAGTGACTCTTAACATTGTTTTTAGGTGGTAACTTAATTGAGGAAGCAAAAGCTTCTGGAGAGCATTTTTATATCTAGTCTCAGATGTATTTTCTCTCTTACAATTCAGTACACAATATTAAAACAAGTGGTCCCAAGATAAACTGTGCCCATTACTAAGCGTTAATTATCAGTACCGAAAAATGTATGACAAGAAAGTTAAGGTACTCAGCTCATGTGAGATTCGTTAGAATCTGAAAATAAGAATTAATTCTCTATCGACTGAAGTGTGAAGACTCTATGGTGACCGCAAACCAAACAACGGCTCGAGTATCTTGCGATCTGCTTGGATAAAAATTGTATATGCTCTGATATTGCAAACTTATTGCCGAGTTATAGAAGCTCAAGTGATGTATTTTTAAACTCATGAGCATAAAGGAGTGCCTTATAGCAGCTCCGCGACGCCTAGTTAAATTTACTCCACAATCACGTTGATTTTAAATAAGAAATGCTTGGCAAATCCCCTCCACACGCAAAGAGTCACCATCGTTGCAGCTAAAATGAAAAATCAGTACTCGTAATCTCGAAGTAAAAGTGTTTCACGCGGTAACAAACGCTGAAATTGGTCTGCAATTTTTTACAGTATTGGAGTCAACTTTTTATACTAATACCCGTGACGCTTGGAGTTATAGCTCTCACCTAACGTGGCGTCAAATTCGTCTATATATTGCAGGCTTCAATCACTTTGAAAGTAGGAATAAAAAATAACTTGCTCATACTTTGGTCGAAAAAACTTGTAAACTTCCGCGTTGATAGGTAAAAGTAAAATTGAACATATTCATATTCATCAAACCTTAAAGACATGATTGTAAGTGAGAGGTTGTACCGGATTGTTCAGCACATGTTCTTAGCCCATATATGTATCGCTCTTTTCGATCTGGTATTGCGTTATTCAATCCCATCGAATTTCCCCTTTTAGCCAATCTGGTGCTGGTGCACTTGACCTGTACTGGTCTTTTACTGACGTACGACGTACCTGTGCTACAGCTGTGCATGTATGTTGTAAAACTAGCCCAAACACATGATTTTAATTGCAACGATCACTTAGCTTTTGTCACGTGTAGTCAACATGGCCGCTTTAATCGTTATGGATTGAGGTACTCTGCAGCGCTCGACTACAAGACCACCAACCTTGTTGTTGCACAAAATTTGAGGCTTTAATTGCATTAAAACATAGGGGCAATCGCATGTAAGACGGAAACTTTGCAAGTGACATTAGCGCGTGTCATACGCAATTTAATACATCATCCAATACCTTGGCTAAAGCTGAGCAGTAAGCACTGAGCGAGGGAATGTCTGAGTAAATGCGTCTGCTATGCCGCATGAAGATAAAGCTGTTCGTGGAATCCATTCCATCGAACACATTATTAATGAAGCGCTATCCATATAAGCATCCGCAGAACGTAAACCCGAGTTATATTTGTCGATTAACTGATCGACGAGCGGCTTAATGTGAAGAAAGATATTTTAAGCCTAAGCGCTGCTGAGGGAGAACCTGTAGGTGCAGATGCAGATCCAAGCAAAGTTAAGTACGTGAAACAACTACTCGACCATTGTAGACTAGACAATTATTATAGTTAGACCAATGGACATCGAAGTACAATCCTCGCGGAGCGCATAGTATATTTATTGGCCCTGCATGGTACAAGTGACGAAACACTATTAATCGCCAAGACGATTCGAAAAAAGTGCATACCATAACGTCTAACACTGAAGGAAAAACGATAGCTTACTCATCCGCAATAAAATTACTTTGCGAAAGTAGTAAACATACAGTCCCGCCCATAAGTTATAGTCTTGGTGGAGCCAATACTATAACTTATCAGGGGTTACTTCATTTGGGAATATTCAATTAAATTAGTGATCAAAAAAGTTGACCATTTAGTAATTTGTAATTTGTTACTTATCAATACAGTACAATATATGCATAACCATTAGTATTAGTATCACGATTGTCATGTATTGATCAAAAAAGCGGACCAAAGAACATTTTCTTTACCCTTCTGATGGGGGACGCGTCTGGACACCGCCTATGGAAATTGTGGATTCCTTGTGCGTACAATGCATTGTCTTCGTGAGCGCATCGAATCCAACTTGAACACATTTTATTGCACACAATTAATTGATTGAAACACACTAAACTGAGTCATTGAACCAATCACAGTTAATGTACCTTCGTACACAGTTAAAGGACTGTACCTTGTTTACATTTCGTGCGCGATTGCGCAACCTTTTGCAACTCGCCTGGCGGTCTGGCCACCGATGTAGGGTTATATAGGGCACTCTTTTTTCCCTTCGAACAAACAAACATCCCTACATTCCTACATCCACACCTCACCTTCCCCCTCACTTTCCCTCTCTCGCTTCCTGTCCACTTCCATTCCTCTCACAAACCAACAACTTCGCTCAAAAACCCAGAACCCCACACCTACCCACCCTCCGACCCACTTACCCACCCACACATCAGAGATGTCTCAACTACGTCTCACCTACGACCAGAAGCTGAGGATCATCAAACATAAGGATGATCATCCGAGCCTCACCCAGGCAGAGCTCGGAAACTAGACGAAGGAGGCATTCGGCCTCCCCAAACCTATGACGCAGGACCCAATCAGCAAGATCATCAGCAAGAAGAAGGAGCTTGAAGCAATGAGTCCATCAGAGCTCTCTGCTAAGCGTCCCCGCTCAGTTCAACATCCTGCCTTGGAAGAAGCAGTGGCCCTCTGGATTTTGCAGTGCCAGCATCGTGGAGTTACCCTCACCGGAGACCTGATCCGTACCAAAGCTGCAAGCTTTTCAACGTCCATGGATATCACGGATGGATGAATCAAGTATGCCCATGGGTGGATCTACAAATTTCAGCAGCGCCACAAGCTAAGGGCCGTCCTTATCCGTGGCGAGAGCGGTTCAGCCGATGTGGCTGGACTTGAAGCAGCTCTATTAGAGTTGCAAGCAGCCGTCGCCAAGTATGCTCCCCGTAATGTGTACAACATGGACGAAACTGGTAAGTTCTCCTGAAGTCTTTTATGCTCTGTGTCGTAAATGCCAAGATGATTTTCAGGACTGTTTTTACAGCATGACACCGGATAACACCATTGCCCAGAATGAAGTTGAAGGCTTCAAAAAAGACAAGGTGAGTTGCATTTGGCTTGTTGGAATCCGTAAGGTCAATGGAATAATTGACATGTTTTTCAGACTCGCATCACAGTTTCTCTGACGGCAATTGCTGATGGATATAGTAAGCTCCCTCCATTCTTCATCGGCCGTGCAAAGAAGCCTCGTTGCTTCCGACGGAAGTCAGGAGAAGAGCTCGGGTTTCTTTATCGCTACAACAAGAAAGCCTGGATGACTGGGGTCTTTTCCAGGAATGGCTTGGAAACCTGGAAATAGACATGAAGGTAATAGAACATTTGCTTTTTCTGAGGTATCAGCTGCAAAACAAAGCACTTACCCAGATTCTAGCGCCAGGATAAGAAAATCCTTCTGCTTATGGACAATGCACCTTCGCACGTAACTTTGGATCTTGTGCTCACCAACGTCACCGTTCAGGATCTGCCGCCCAGTACCACATCCAAGATGCAGCCAATGGACGCCGGTATCATCGCTGCATTCAAGCGCCACTATCGGCGTCTGCACCTATAGAACGCTTTGGATCGCGATGATGCGGGAGCGGCCGATCTCTACAAGGTTGATCAAGTCACAGCCATGCGTTGGTGACTTATGGCATAGAGCAAGAATTTTAGCACCACCACTGCGAATTGCTTCAAGCACACTGGACTCATGGATGGGCCGACTTCACCAGCAGTTGAAGGAGGCGCTTCAGCAGGGGACATTCAGCAGCCTGTGAAACAGGATGCAGATCTGGTTTACCAGGGGGAGCAGGAAGTGGAGAAATATCTGGAGTCAGCTCTGCAACGCCTGCCTTTGCGCAATCCGATGTCTATTGCGTCACTGCTTAATCCAGTTGATGAAGAGCCGACGGTGCATGCGGAGTTAAGCGACGCCGAGAATTCAAGCTCGTCCAGGATGCTGAGGAGAAGGAGGAAGGAGAAGCTGAGGAGGAGGTGGTGACACACTCCATAGCTGAGAAGCTCGCTGCTCTTGATTTGTTCATTTCCTTCCTTGATATCTCCCAGAATCGAGACCGCGCCGCCCACCGTGCTCTTCTTCGCATTCAAGCCCAACTTCGTAGAGCTAATACAATCCAAACACACTGGATTCATGGCTTAATTAGGCTCCAGGATGCTCCAAACAATATTTATCAACTCTTGACAAAAATTTGCTTTCCCTGATACGTTATATTGGGTCTGGGCGGGTATTCCATATTCCATAGTCGCCATAGAACAGCGTCGGTGGACCCAAAATCTTTTAACTTAGCAGATGTTATACCATAGGGGGGATAAATTATGGGGGGAGGACTGTTTTTGTACTACATGAGGATGGCGCGTTATAATACCTGATTCGACACCAGGGTTCAAGAGCGACACAAAGGGATGGGGAGAAGCTGTGACTGCTTATGTTGACGACACTCGTAACAAAGTCTGTTGGGCTGTATAGTTCGATAAAAAAGCGAACATTTAGGCATTCTGGGAACCTACTTCAGATTCAATACTAACGGCTGCTGGATCTGCATTTAAGCAAATGTAGCAAAAAAATGCCAAGGCTTGTGTAGACTATAGAACTAGATAGCGTAATCCTCTGATAAATAAAACTTAGCTAAAAAGTGCCGCATAACGACCGTTCCAAGCGGTTTTGATGGATACGTTATACTACACCCTACAACCCTGCGGGAACACGGCATGTTCACTATCTAAGATCACCCCTTTGGGATCAAAATAATGAAATGATGGACTACACAGATGCGTTAGAATTATTGTATCCTAATGGACAATGTGTTTTCTCATTACGTTGCATTAAATTCCACCCTTCACATTTGATACACCAGGTTTTAGAGGGAAATTTCGCAATCTTTTTTAAGATGATTTAACAGAAGTCATAAGCCACACCCAGCTATTTGAGCGTAAAGTTGCCAACAAAAACGCCTAGTGAAGACATGAACTACAGTGTGTGAATTATGGCTAAAGAATCTTTGCATGCTGGCTGGGATCATTTTGCAAAGGAACTTCTACTTGCTGTCGATCAATAAAGGGGCTCGACTCAAAGTGACTTCGATGTTTTCGGAGTATAAATGGGACACTTACTTTTTTAAGATGCATGAATCGTTTGGACTGTTAATCTCTACTATTTCCAGAGGTCGGAGATCGACGAGACAGTGGGATGTACTTCATGTGTGGGTCACGAACAGCATGTTTCGACAATACAATACTCATTATTTTAAGGCTAAGGAGATGAGATTCGTCGAGGTAAGCCTCGCCGCGTGAATATTCGTTAAGTTCAAGCTCATCAAGTTCAAGATCGTCGACTTCAAGTTCGACGCGTTCGAGTGTGACGAATTCCAGCTCGTCGAGATCAAGTCTTAACTCGATGAGCTTGAACTCAGCAAAGTATCTGGAAGCTCGACGGTCTAATCCAACGGATGAGTGTGTAGGAGTAATAGGGGAATGGACGGGAGACACACGACAGGTTCCCACCCAATAGAAGAATAGGTAAACTAATACAGTGCATAAATTTACGAGTTTAGTAACGCGCATACTCTTTTGATGAGTCCCTGCGTGGGTTGAATTATGTATGCCGTCGAACCTAGGGGGAAATAGCTTGTAGAGGTTGACTAAAAGCGACAAGAGTTCAAGTTGGCCCGAAATAGGCAATACTCGCTCTCAGCGAAAAAGGGCCTCGTCGAAGACGAGCTGGTCAACTCAATGATTGGTATTGCTAAGGCCTTGTCGATTGGCAATCCGGTCAGCCCAAATGACACGGTATTTGACAAGACAGACTTTCAGACGTGGTGGTAAGAAAATTTGATGCCGATTATTTGGTTCATTTCGCTCGTGGTCGCGACCAATGCATCTCAATATCATTCTTTCCCCTCGACACGCAGTATACGGCCTACATCGAGTACTTGGAGAAATTTGAAGTACTACAATCGATGGATTGGCAGCTAGTTAACTGTAAAACGCAGGTCCACGCTCATATCCAAGAAAAATCGAGTCTGAAGTCACACTATCGCTAAGCATGATTACCGCTTTCACTGTACGCCACTACACCCCTCCACAGTACAGCGACTTGTAATCGATCGAGCTTTTGTGGTACGATAGAAAGGAAAACTTTGGCCGTAAGTACACCGCAAAGAAAGCTTTGGGGGATGTGGCGTGAGCCTTAAATTTGAGCTAAAATTGTAATGGGCTATGGTGACTAAAGTAGAGCTGATGGAAGAACACACATCAGCGCGATGATGAAGTAACTACTGTGATCTTATAATGTTTAGCAGAGGAGTTGTTTGACTGAAAGAGTGCTGTAGAAGACGGCGATAAAGCAGCGATGATCCGTCTTCGAGTGGCCGTAGTCGCATTTATTAAAATAGCGGTAAAGCAACATCAGCATTAGTACGGTGTATTGTATAGAAATAAATTAAATAGATTGTAACCTTATGGTGTATGTGGAACGGGGTGCCTCCGTTACATGATCAGTTACATACGATAATTATCAAGTATGAATACAATGTAACGATAAGCAATACATATTTACAATATTATCATAATTGATAATATTGTCCTGAAAATGTAACACACTGCTCATTAGTGTATATAGGTCGGGATATGAACCAATGAAGTCTAGCCACGACAGAAGCACGGAATGAGTAGTGTCTGGATAGTTACAATACATGTATATATTTAGACATGGTTAAATAAAGAAATAGGGATTTTACTAAGAGGATTTATTGTACGAAATGCAGCTCTCCTTTTACCTTTACTAAGTACTCTGACTCCGTATAGCAATCTTCCTCTGCACATACGTGTACGTGAGGTAGCTGGAAGCACACACCGTTGTACTGCTACCAGTGCAAGGTTCATTCAGTTACCTGAATAAGCTGAGCCCCGTTACATTATGTCTATTCCAGCAAGATAAATTTGTACGTAAAAAGCGCACATTTGTTATCCATCGTACATGAACAACTCTGTGTAGTTATACATTCAATTGTATAATTTTTAAATTCACCAATTGTAAAGGAAAATTAGCGTGCTCAGGTGCTTGAGTAAATAGGCTTCGATTTCGTGAGCTCTGACGATCTATAAAGTCAAATGATAACAATTGGATCCCTTCTTTATTCGGTTGGTGAATCCGACACATTCTTAAGGGGAAATAAAAAGAGAAGCCTAGTTTTTTCGGAAGTGAATCCCATACACTCAACTTACCATTACCATAAACTCACTTGGCCGCTCAAAGCTCAAATTGAATTTATTTAGTTGACTTTTAAGTTTGACAATCGGATCATCAAATAGAACAGCGAGCCTCCCATTCACAAACAGTCATTTTGGACAAACTCCGACTCCTGCCATTGCTATTGAGACGTATATGTTGACTGATATGCTTGTGGAAGTAAAAGGAAGCAGTAATTACAAAATTTAAGATTTCTGTAATTACACTCGATGTCTTCTCTTCTAACTGCTGCGTTCTCTAAAGCTATCAACACCACCCATCTTTCCAAGCAGCCGCTCTGCCCCCAATCATGTTTAAACGGATGACGCGAATAAAAACCATTTTATCTGCTGTGTTCTCTTAAGCTATCAACACCACCCATCTTTCCAGAAGCCGCTCTACCCCCAGTCATGTTTAACTGATGACGCGAATAAGAAAGCACGCCGAATCTTTGACCGCATGAATCGCAAACCCTCGATTTCCTACACCCCCTCGAGTTTGGATGCAATTTTTTCTCTTTCCATCTCCACCAACCTTAAGCTCCCTATCAAAAAAAACTAGCGTTCAAAAGGTTGCGCATGCTGTAGAGCCTCTTCGCATCCAGCTCATTTGGTACCAAGGCGACCAGTGTCTTATCCGACTTGAAAAGGCTCGCGGCGATGATGCCGCGCCGAAAGAAGTCACAAATAAATTTAAGCCGCACAATCGGTGTGCTTCGCCTCGATTGACGACGTCTCGCCTCGCCCTCCACTTGGTTGATCGCCGCCTGATTTCCACATGCAACTGCATCGGTAGCGCTGACCTATTGCCCATATCGCGCAGAATATCGTGCAGAATATCGCTCAGATTAAGAATCCCACGCGCGACACACTCATCCTTAATCGTGGACAGCGACACACCGCCCTACTTGCATGCGCTTTAGCTACCACTTATGCCGTCCAGACTCAGCGCTCCGCCAATCATCGATTTGCTGTCCGCATTTTCGGCAGAAAAGTCAGCGTCGCTGAAAATCTCGACATGGCGCCGCGACGCTGTCGAGTAACGAATCCATCTTAATTCTCATCTTAGCTGTTGCTCTAAGGTAGCGCATGATGCAATTTGTCAGGTTTAAGCACCAAAATATGCGGTGCTTGCGTTTGCCGCGTCGCCTAATAGACCGCGAATGCGATGTGCGGATGCGTGTAGCATGGCACCTAGAGGAGAGATTCGACTAGTGGCCAGAACTTGTTCTAATCGTTACCGCCAACCCTCTTACCGTCTCGAGGAGTTCTACTTCGTCTGCTCCGACCTCACAGACGTCATTACCAGTTGGAGTGTGCGTCGGTTTTGTGTCAGCCAGACTATTGCCGTACAAGCGATCACCTATCGTATACTCTTGACGCAGTATGTATGCGCCTTCTTTGTCGAGCTATGTGCGCATCGCCAGAAACTTACTCAAGCGTCCGAGGCCAGATATCTCGAGCTACGCCAAGCTGTTGAAGTTCCCCTCTACTGCTGCCGATATCGTCGCAGTGGCGAGGAGATTGTTTACATAGATACCAAAGAAGACCTAATTTTGTTCTATCTCGCTTTTAGTACATGCACATGTATCTTTGGCATCGCACGAGACCGGCTTCATATAGATTGACATACAGGAGCTATTTCCATAGCCTGTCTACCTTCTTAAGCCTGTACAGGTTCTTACGCATCTCCAGCACGAGCTCGTTTAAGCTCGCAGCATCGTGCACGTGCAGCGTATCTTCCAACACTCCGATCCCGCGCAACATCCGCAGGAAGAACCGCAGGTGAGGCTCCTTGTGCGTATTCAAATACGCATTTGGGAATGTCGCTGTGCTTGGCGTGCAAACTTACACGGAGACAAGCGCTAGCTTTAAGTGTTGACAGGTAAGTTACATAAGCGAAGTTGAGCATGTAGTCTTAGTCTTGCATACCCACTCGGTGTGCATAGCAGTCGTCCCAGGCGCGCTCTTGGCGACTATACACACGTCATTTTCTCGAAGTGGGGAGGGATTCTACTCCATCGACTTATCCCATCTGCCACGCTTGCCACCGCACAAAGCTTCTCTATGGTTCAGTAAATATTCTCAGAATCTGCGCTTACCACTTCGCCTTTTCCAGCTGACTCCTCCTGTCTAGCATATCTTGCGCGCGCTTCGACTGATACTCATTATATGCGGTGACTGTGTGCAAGGCTTCACACTTATCTTTTGATCCACAGCGCATCCCATGCGCTGTAAGCTATCGCTTCCCCAGCAGCTGGCGCTTGCTCTCCTTTGTCGTCCACTCGTTCGTTCACCTTCCGCGCGCTGAAGCTGCGCGTTCTGCGCTCCGGGAAGCGTGTCGATGTTCTGGACGTGACACGTCACGATCACCTTTTTCAATTTTGGTGGGACGATCTTGTACACATTCGTCTCCTTGATGAAACCTACCGCATTTGCCGCACTGTAACCGCTGCTGCAGGGAGACGGTGAGCGGATCGCATTAACGCTGCATGACGACCCAAAGACGACGATACCTCACAGACCCGATTTTTTTGCCGGTCATCACCTCGACCAGCGACGTTCTTTAGCGTTTGTTTGCGTCGGAACTTTATTCTAGAAATGTACGGCGTATTGCACCAGGTCCTCCCATTACTGCAGCGGCAGCGTACATTCGAAAATTTGCTGAGGGCGAGGTGTAACACCGTCCTGTGCATCTTCCTGGCATTGCTGTTCGAAGCCTAATTTCTGCCCAACAGATCTTCCGTGGGACGCCTGTGCGCTTGAGGTCGAGGTCCAAGATGGTGATCTCGCCTCCCTCGTCTGTGCGCAGCCCGTGGATCTTGAAGCCTAATACTTTGAAGTGGACGAAAAAGCTTTCGAGCTACTTTGCCTCCGCGTCCTTAGTGCGCACGGATCACGCGACAATAATTCGACTTGAGGTCGATGAAGTTAACCGAGTATCGATTAGTTAGTCAATCCTGCAGCTTCATTGATCTCATGAGGTCTAACAGATAACGCCACCAATCCTGCGAAGTTGGCGCCGTTTTCCTGCTGTGGATGTGCGTTGCGCGTCTGCCTGTCCTTAAGGCACGATATACACGCCATATTCCTTATGCCGGGTATCCGAAAGCAGGATGCAAGATCACTGGCCATGAGCTTAATTGTGCCAAACACAACGTGACCAAGTCGCTAGTGGAAGTGCAGAGGCGTGTCTTTTGTTTCTAGACTGCATAAGTTTCCCCCGCGTGATTCTCGAGCGCAGCCATGATCTCGCCGCCAGCGCTGCGCCTCCCTCGCGTCGCCGTCGTCTCAACGTACAAAATGTTACTGTAGATCACTACGTAGAACGCGACGCACCGTCCCTTTATCGAGCAAGCGAGCACTTTTCATCTTCGTACACAAGAACAAAGCTTCTTCTTTCCAGATTTACGTAGGATACGATGGTGCCCTTTGTCAGAAACGGCGCTAGGTACAATTCCTCAGTTCCACCGTAAGCTCAGCGCAGCGCTCAATGACCGTGATATGCAAGCTGTTGACGCGCTTGAATCGCAGCGTATCTTCAATGGCCACGGAGATCTGAAGGCCGCAAGAAATCGAGTCAAAAAGCAGTGACTCGTCGCTCACGAAATGCCGATTCGCTTCCGCTGTAGAGGGTCCAGTAGTATCGCTCTGACAGCATCGTTCGATGCGATCACAAAGCCATTAATGCCGCCTGCAACCGACGCCATGCGGTCCATTCCGTTCGCGTAAACTTTATTTCCGCGCGAGATTTCTTCTTAATGCCCTTGGGATGCTTCGTATGACCTCCGGATGTCTTCTCGGTCAGTGCAGGCACCATAATGCTCCCGCCTTTGCGCCGCTCGCTTAGTCTTCTTGCTCGACCCTCATCTTGCAGTAGGCTACGACCCGTCTCATCCTTCCACACCAAAAACACATTCGCATCTTCAAGCGCTTCTTCAAGACGTGAGCCACAACATCTTCGCGTCCGACTACGTCACTGCCAAGTCCAATAGACTGAGTGAAGTGCGCGAGTTGTTCCACCCGCCTCAAGTGGTCGACTCTCGTTGAGTCTTTCTTCGCGCACATGACTTTCATTAGCTCTGGCGACGCGTGGTGAACGATGTTACCGAGCATGGGCGAGTCCGTTTCACCGCGACCGTCGCTGTGACGAGACCATACCGACATTGTTTAACCCAGGTAAACTTAGCTTCCTTCTTCTGCATAAACAGCCGACATTGTTTAACCCAGGTAAACTTAGCTTCCTTCTTCTGCATAAACAGCTTCATTGCCTGAAATGCTGTGATTTTTTCCTTAAGGTCGCGTGGAGCTGGATCATCACGTGATCAAGCGTCCAATGCTGGACCCATCAGGCGTCGGTCTGTTTGTAATAGTACTTCTCCGCGGTGACAACCAGGAAGCGACCGAGGAGGTCGACTCTTAACGTCCTCAGTCCACGCAAATCCACTTCCGAGACCCTTGTACAGCTCGGTCCCATCAAATTCCTGGACCGACAGCTTGTGCTGAATAGTGCTCGGCATCTCGTAATACTAGAGCGCTACCGCAGCGTTCGTAGCAGGTGCTGCTTAATCATGACGTGACGCGGGCAGGGTAGCCGCTGGCTTCTACTCGGGCAATTCTCTCACGTCAACCGTCATCGGTCGCCGTGCGTGTTATTTTTCAAGCGCTGAGGCAAACATTCCGCTCTCCACCGCGCCTTGTATCCGCTCGCCTTAATAAGAACGCGCTGTAAAGATTCATGGAGCATTGCAAATCCCGTGGGTGTTTGCTCGCGTGATTTTTTGGAGAAGTGTGCGCGCGTGTGCGAATCCTGTCTAGCTCAGTTGGTATAGCGCAAGACTCTTAATCTTGTGGTCGTGGGTTCGAGCCCCACGGTGCGCGACTACCAATGATGTTATCGAAACGGACGCAGTCTCGTTCTCTTCTAGAGTCGCAGTCCTTGACTGGCGATCGGGAACGGCGGTCAAGTTTGCAATAAAATTGTTTGTAGTCACCTCGTTACTTTCAACAGCGGGCGGTCGAGACATCGAAGACTGCGGGAGTGGGGTTTGCGGGCGGAAAGAGCGTTTAAGAACCTAGACCTGGCGCCGCACGTGCGACACCGCCTGGTATCTCTCATTTCACTTCGATATCTCCTTCCACTTGGCTCATAACATGTTGACTGGCTTGCGTGTGACAGTAGGAGGCAGTGGGTGGAGAACGTTATACTTTATAGACGCTAGATGTCTTGATTTCTAACAGCTGTGTTCTCCAAAGCTATCCACACCATCCATCTTGCCAAACAGACGCTCCACCCTCCTATCGAAACAGATGACGCTATTCGAAAGATCACGCCGAATATTCGACCACCCGACTAGCAAATCCCCCGCCATCCTAGATTATAAACGACCACAAGTACCCCGCAGAGTTATTAAAATGATTAGCCCTGTATCGATATTATTCTTGGATGGCTTGTTGGACTCCATATCCTTAGTAGAACATGCGATACAACTACTGAGATTTTATAGAGTCAGTGCACCTTTGACTTCAGTATGGGCATTGAGGACAATGAAGATTGGTGAGAAGAAGTTGTTTTGAGGTGAGCAGTTGTTGCATGATTCTCGGCGCCGCGCTATTACAAACACTTCGACTACAACTGCTGTAACTTAGATTTTCACACCACTGCAATCGACTACAGTTGCCGCAGCCGTCTCCACGATCAGCATCTGCGCAATTTATAAAATTGTGTCTGGAGATAACGAATTCAGTAGGGTCACGCAAACGTAAACTTTGGTGTTTGCGACATATCGGAGAGCCCCGATAGCGTCTAGAGCGGGCGTACAGACTGAATAACCAAGACTGACCCTAGCAGGAGGTAATCGTACATCGTAGCTGCTGGAACGCGGCAGTTTTTGCAAGAAGTCCCTTGTGGCTAGGATGTCACCACAAGTCACTTGACGATACAACACCATGAGTTTTGTGCGACGACTTTCTTACGCTATACCTAAAAATCGATACAGTTGAATAAAAGGAGCTCAGCTGTTTAGCATTCGTCTTTATGAAAAGGGAATTAGCTTTCCGAACACAGATAAATGTGGTTGCACTTTACTTAATTGCTGTTTGAGCCTTTTCACCCAACGATCGGTGGCTTCAACGCTTCATAATGAACACTGGCGCAAGACTTCTGGATAACGATGGGTTGAAATGTTGATGTTTCGTCTTGCAATGACTGGAAAATTTTGACTAATCTGTCTGGAATAGCGCAGAATAAGTTTATTTTTGAGTGCATTAGCCAATCAGGCTATCAAAAACGAGTTTTGTTTGCTTATTCTTGAGCAGGTACAAACAAGTTGAAACAGAAAGAGTACTTTTTAACCCGTTTTATAGTGTCGAGGACTGGATGTCAGTTTTACCTAGACTTTTCCACCAAACTGTAGTTTTAATCCTCAACTTTGCAGCACTCAAAACTGAAAGCCTTTGTCAAGTACGAACTCGGACACACAACGCAAAATTTGGCAAAAGTCGTGAAAATGTCCGTAGCACGCGAGGCTAAAGAGGTCTCGCGCCTCGAGTGGCAGCAGCGCCATACGCAGGCGCTGCGGGACACGGTCGAGTCTCTGCAAATGGCGAAAGCAACTGCACATACACTCAGCATGCAGACAGAGCATATGGGACATAGCGAGCGCATGCTGGACGAGACGCAAGCAGCTGTGGACGTGTCCAAGCGTGTTCTCCGAGGCATGACGTGGTCTGGTTGGCTGTATAATAAAATGTCGTCTGTCCCGCCACTCTTGACCAATCAGGTGTCCAATGAGGTATATACGATTATTGGGTCGTGTTGTTGCGGTGTGTTTGCCTCTTTTTTGTATTTTGTAACAATTGTGTACTCAGATTATTTATTTTGCATCTAACTTCGGTCTGTCTTTTGTGATATTGTAGATTGCAATGGGATTTATTTGTCCCGAGTGCAAAGTAACGTTTGAGTCTGCAGAGCATTTAAGACTGCACTATAGCAGTGTTCACGAGAAAGTAAGCGATAAAGAAGAATTCACCATTAGTGCTCGACAAAGGAATGAGGAACGGGTCCAGAGATGGAATGAACATGATCAAGAGACTGTGCATGCAGTTGATAGTATGCACGACCGATTCCTTCGAGATCTGGAACCGCAGATAGTCGAGTTGAAGGAGCATTCGCTGGCGCTTGGGAGTGCGCTGGATGCACAGAACGAACAGTTGGATCGACTGGACTCGAAGATAGGACGAGTTCATCAGGATATGAAAAAAGTGGGCATTCAGGCCAACAAACTTGCAGGAAAGAAGATTCCCGTGATGTTTCGCTTTCGTTGTGCGTTACAAGAGGCGCAAAGTGGAAAGTTTTTGCGAGATGTAGACGGAGAGTCGCTGCTCGGGTATATAGAGCAGCAATGGACACGTGCTTGGGGACATGTTATTGACGCATGTGTTCTGTTCTGTATGTACTTTCCTGCAGAGCTCATGTTGTAATGGACGGCTGTGCGTTTCGTGCTTACACATTGGGTGACGACAGCAATGTTTGGGGATTTCAAAGTGAAAAGTCGAGCAATTTCTTAGGCATTAATCGGTACGGGAATCTAAAAGTGCGGGGAGCGGATTTGGACTCATACGAGCAGTTTCTCGTGGAGTGCAAGTCGAGCACTCCTATCTTTTCTCTGTCCAGCTACTTTGGGCTTGGCGGTTGGATTGCAGTGAAGGGGTCGGCGGATAGCAAGAACCTCACCATCATTCGAGGAACGCCTGAGAATAAACCATCAGCTGCATATTTCAAAATTATACGCTTGGACGATGGCACGAAGAAGTCAAGGTGGAATTGATGACACGAAGCGCAACAATCTCAGCGTCTCGTTTGCTCCAAGGCACACGTTTCTAATCAATTTCACTGGCTTTCCTGCTCGGCTGATGCGCAGTCGAAACGTCCTGAAACGAAGTCCCACATAGCACCATAAGTGAATGCTTCACGAAGTCTCACATAGCTCCATTAGTGAATACTTCACGATTATTAAATTCCGCAATATAACAACGACCAAAGTCGTTCGTAGTGAACTAGCGAGACCGACGGACTCACTGTGGTACCATTTCTTCAATCAGAATTACATTACAGTAGCTAGCCCATCAGTACCGCACTTGTGATGGTACGCGCCTTATCAACAACCGTTCCACCTACAACTTGTCGTTCCAAAAAGTGCCACACATCCACAGTCTACGCTGCACCAACATCAACGTACCCGCTCGCCCGACTCTGCACGTGTCGTCCAATTGATCAAGGCCGTCGTACTTCGTGTCTGTGTTTTCTTCGTACAGTCCTTCCCGACGAGTCAGTCGCAAAAGTGACGAAATCTACCGCTGGTCTTTTGACCACTTTTACTGCACGATCGTGCTCATCAAAAGCGCAAATGAATGGCACCTAGCTCAAGTGGCAGCAGTGGTATATCCTACACAGTAAAACGTCTCGCTACAGCGTTTGATTCGCTCGACGTCTTTTTGGTGACGTAAGCGAGCGTCTTTTCGCTATTCGCCGTCCACAATCTGCCCGGATTGTACACTACGCGTAACCATCGAGGTACACGACCCACAAGTACTGTTCTGTACATGGTCTTTGTCAGACAGTCAGTCAGACAATCAGACACTCGTTCTTAGGTGCGTTTTCAGTAAACCTAAAGTAGCCGGTAAAACGAGGCTACTGCCACACTCACCTACCGACCCGTCTCTGTGCAGCTGACTGCCCCACGATCGCCACGCTGGATCTCTGTCGACAATGGACCAATCAGCGACCGCGCTGCTTCCCCTCGTTCTGTGCCACGTCTTTTTGTCTCATGGTGTACAAAACCAAGCCTGTTTTCGCTCCTGCAACCGATTGACCGACTAGCAGTCGCGTCGTCGTCGACGTCGTCACCGTCGTCCACTATCGGTATAAAAAAACAATCTGCGGCGTGTGTGCATCGTCGTCGGGAGAGGCGGGGCCTGGCGCTTTTCGGGATGATCTTTTCAGCCAATCGCCATCGACTTTGTGCGCAGGGCTCGAGCCAATCCAAACGCACCGCCTCAAGTCGCGTCGACGCGGCTCTGTCCACTTTTGGCCGACAATCGCACACTTCCTTCCCTCGCCTTTAACGAGACGACCGTCGACCGACCGACCAAGGGAGCGATTGACAGGGCCCAGCTGTCCGTCGTCTATCTCTCCGTCTGTGGCTCGACGTGCGGGGAGAAAACCACGGAATGTTTGTACCGCCCACTGACGACGCAGCAGTCTCCTCTTCGCCCCCTTCTTCCTCCTCTTCCTCTTCTTCTTCTTCTTCTATGAGCCACGAAGAGCTCTTGGCACACCAGCTCGACCTGCACCACAAGATCCAGCAGCAAATGCAGATGCAGATGGAGATGAGCATGCAACTGGGCGCGCGCCAGTCGCTGGCCAAGGTCGAGCCAGACCTCGGGGACAATGTCTTTGACATGCTGGACGACCTGATTATGATTCCGTCCGGCGCCATTGCGTCGACTGAGCGCGGCTCGCTGTCGAAAAAAGCTGGGGGAGGTGGCAGTGGTGACGAGGACGACGAGGACGGAGCAATGGGTGCGGATCCGGACGCCAGTGACAAGCGCATGTCCAGCTCAATGGGCTCGGGCAGTGTCAGTAGCAGTCGCGACAGTCTCGCAGATATCCTCGAGTCGCTGGACATGGACCTGGATGTTGACGACGACCGGGACCGGGATGATGATAACGACGATACGCTCTCGTGTGGCAGTGGACGCTCGAAAACTTCGGGTGGGGGAGGGAGCAGCGGGACGCTGGATGAAGCGGACCTGGATGACCTTCGCCATGAACTGGACAACCTTGACCTGGACTCAGATGTACACTATGGCTCGGATCAGGGCGGCTCGATGATGGACAAGGGGGACGAGATGAATGAACGGGCCCCACCGGCTGCTGAAGAAGAGTTTGTGCACTTGCGCCGCTCGTCGCTGGATTTGCTGGCGTCAATGAGAAGCAGTACAGCAGGTATGATGACGCACAATGCAACGGGCAATATGTGTACGTTGGTATGGGAAGGAGGATTGCTCGGCCTGCGGCTGCGGCATTCGCAGTCGCAATTGGTGCCGGCTGTGTCCAAGATTATGGGAAAGAGCTCGATTTTCGGCATCCATCTTGTCGATGTGGGCGACTTGTTGTTGCAAATCGGACATCGAAACACGCAAGAGATGGAATTCGACGAAGCGATCCAGTACTTGAAAGAGGTTGCGAAACCATGTCAACTTGTTTTCCGACGGTTAATGGCTGACCCGATGGCAGTGAAGCCAGTGCAACCGAAGGTGACGAGTACGATTGGCTTGAAGCTTGCCGCCAAGTTTGAAGAACTGACGGCAGCAGAGAATGAAAAGTACCCACCGCAACCAGCTGTCAAGCTCGAGTCCAAGTACGAGATCAAGTGGCTTGATGGACCGCTTGGGATTAGTCTGATTGCAAGTAAAGACATACCATACCCTCTTGTGACGCGCATTACGGGAAAGAACCGCTCGCCACAGGTCCAGGACGTTCAGCCAGGGCACTATCTGGTACAGATTGGCAATTACAGCACCACAGATGGAAATTTTAACACAGCGATCAAGTTCTTGCAAAAGGTGCAAAAGCCAGTGTCGCTATTTTTTTGCCCGGGCAACAAGAAGGTGTCGTCTCGACCGGACCCTGCCGATGATGAGTATGACCACATTTGGGAAAAGAAGCAGCCACTATGCTTTACTGTTCGACCGAGTGCTGCCGGTCACATGGTTGTAGCAGACCTGGGCAGTGCTAAATCCATCAAGGTGAAGATTAAGGGTGCACCGAATAATGTGGCAGCGTTTGTGAGCTCAGGCGACCGCATTGTGTGGATTAATGACGAAAGCGTGAGAGACCTGACATTCCACGAATCTTTGCTCAAGCTACGCACAGCCAAGCGTCCATTAGTCATTCGGTTCAAGAAGGGCTCTCCCGAAAACGCGATCGCTGGTTTGACGTCCGCCAGCATACATTCCGCGTCCAAGTTCACAGCTTCGACTTCGTCACTGGCATCCTCTTCAACGTCTGTATCTTCATCGATATCTTCCGCCTCGTCGTCGGTGTCTCTTTCTTCGACTTTGTCGTCTACGGCGAGAGAAAGTGAAACGCCTGCGGCCGAGACATCGCCTCCCAAGGCTGTGCAGCCACCAGCAGTTCCGCCTCCTCCGCGAAGCTTCATGAATCCGCTCAAAAAGATGAGCATAGCCCTCGGCAGTCACTCTAAAGAGAACGCTCATACTGTTTCCAGCGCGAAAATGGCGAACGAGCACAGGAAGTACCAGGATAGGCAGGCACATCCACCGCCATCGCAGCAAGTGCAGCATCAACAGCAGCAGGTGCAGCATCAACAACATCAGCAGGTGCAGCGTCAACATCAGCAGGTGCAGCATCAACAGCATTCATCACAGCTGCATCCGCATGCAGCACCGGAAGTTTCTCAAAGCAGGTATCGAGGCCACGCTGATCAGGAAGCAAAACGATCAGCTCATGACGTGAGACAGCCGAATGCGTCATCATGTAATGCACCGCGAATCTCGCCACATGGTTCAAGAGGAGGAGGAGGATACCACACGACTGGGCCTGATGTACCCGCGACCAAGGACCCGTCTCCTCGGTCGACGCCTGGTCTAGACCACACTAGTGGAATCCGAAACGACACGCACCAACGCACCGCAGATACACACAATAAAGCGCGCAACTTGGAGCAGGGACTGCGCAAGTCGCCACTGGCAAAGTCTTCTAACGATCCGATTGATAACGACACGCCATTGAAACCGCTTTCGCAGGGCGATCATCATCCCGGTTCCTTGCTTCATGTACTTAGCAGTGAAGCCAGCAGTTCAATGGAAAAGGAATTGGCGATGGATAACGACGTGTACGAGGTCGTGTGGCCTGAGGGCACGGCTCTCGGTTTGACGCTGCGAGTGCATCCGACGACAAGATTCCCTGTGGTGGCTCGCGTGACTGGCACGAGCAATCTCAAGAACATCGAGCATGTATCACCTGGAGACATTTTGTTTGCAGCCAACAATATGAACATCGTACCGCAGCCGAAGTTTAAGCAGACACTAGAGAACTTGTCGCGCTTGCCGAAGCCAGCAGTTTTGCGCTTTCGGCGTTCATCCGCTGCGGCATATGCGGCAGTACGAGCGGAGGAGACGGATCAAACACTGTTGCGTGGCCCGCCATTGAAGGACCGCGAGTATGAGCTCATTTGGCGAGAGAATGCCAATCTCGGGCTTGTGTTTAGTTCGGATGCCGATGTCCCCAAGGTGACGAAGGTGGACATGGACTCTGGTGGGCCCATGCTGCACAAGGTGTCGGTTGGAGACGTATTGACGTGGATTGGGCCCATGGAGATCAGCGGGTCCTCTTTTCACTCGTCGATGGCGACATTGCGTGCTGTCAAGCGGCCTGTTGTGCTGCGCTTTTACAAACGTCGAACATGATGCAGAGCTACTACTGCCATGTGATTAACTCATTTGGGCTACGAGGGTCATCACGATGGTGGACGTGAATCGTAGTCGTTAAATACCACCACTAAGAACGAAGGGGACTGAAAGATGCGAATGCAGCAACTAAAACATGAATCATGAGTGTGAGCTCTGGGTGCTGAGCGAGGCCTCAACCAGCTTACCAGCATTGGAGAATGTTCTTTTCACGCCCGTGTCGACACCCGTACATTGTTTTCATTGTCTTTTCTGGAACTACATCAGCCGCTGACAGCACAAAAAAACAGTGTGACGTACTGATCCAAATGTAATACTAGGCGTGTGCTTCTCGTCTCGTTTCTTGCTGTGGTAAGTAGATAACTTTCTTGTCTATTATACACGTCCGCACTGCAACTATGCTCGTTGTTTCAATTCCACTGCACTGTATAAAAGTGCGAGCGTCGATTCAAAACATCCCACCACGAGGTGAAAACGTACAGCGCTCAAACTTCGCCGCAAGCGCCTGTTTCTTGGTCAAAATTTCATTCCGTGAGTTCTTCAAGTCCGTTGACACGTCCGTGACATTGATCGCGTCCATAAAGTTGGCCAGCAGCGGAGCTTTAACATTCGAAGACGGGACACTGACGCCCGATGTCCCCGACGGTAACAAAAAGTCTTCAATTGCAAAAGCGTAATGGTGAGCCACTGCAAAGCCGAGCATTTCGACACAAATGACAAAATCATTCAATGCCGAGGCAATTTTCTGTGCGTCCCAACAGTCGGGACACCCAATGTGCCACTTTTCCGAGATCACGCCCACACTCACCAACATGCTAATCATCACTGACTGCCAGTAGGTGAAAAAGATAATGGCTTTAATGGCCAGGAACTTGGGCCACGGTCTCATCGGCTGCAGTTCATCGTGGGCGCCGTGGAAGAAAATCAGCAGACAATAGAGTGCCCATGTCTGGGAGAGACTCAGGATGAGACACACGTAGCCATAGCTCACAAATGGGTTCATCAGTTCGCCCTCGCCGTAGACGCCTGCGAGACTCGTAACGAGCATCACGATGCTCATTAAGAGTTTGATCGGAATATATTGCAATATCCCGATAGTCGTCTGGTGCAGAAACTTGCCGCCCATGGACCACGGCCGGACACAACAAAAAGGGAACACGTGCGTCATCGGCGGTTTCGACCGCATCGTGCTCGCGAGCACTGATTGGCCGCCGAGGTATTCCACCAAAAAGCAGTGGAACGAATAGAGCGCAAACGCTTCGTAGAGGTCCCGCACGGTCTCAAATAAGAGCTTCGAGTCGTTAAACACGAGCGCCATGTACGATGTGAGCGCGTAAATCGGGACCATGAGCAAGATCCGGATCACGTGCTTGCGAATGCGCGCCGAGGGGTTGTACAGAAGCTGCGTCCAGATGAGCCAGCCGGACAGGACGATCGAGAGGAGCGTGAACGCGCCAGAGATGGCGTACGCGAGCGTCTGGAGCTGCATTCGTGCTCGAGCCAAGGCTTCGTCGCAACTTCGACAAGAATGGGGCGACAGTTGTGTAAACGACATGAACAATAATTGCAATATATGCCGAAGAAATACGTTCATGGGGGTATCATTTGATCATTTGGGTCGATTAGGTGGATAAGGTGTGGTTCAAAGCACAAAACCGGTAAGTGAGCTTGCCTCGTGCGAGACTGAGCAAAAAGGGTAGGTTCGTAGCGGTATCTGCCCAAAATTTACTGGATAGAAACGTTTCTTAAACAGAAGGCTGGCCGCCACGCCTTAAATCTCGCGTCCGCCCATTTCGAGCCATGGCCGAGCACCGAGTGGCCGTGAAGCAGGAAGTCAAGACTGAAGTCAAGCCCGAGTCCGGCACAGCGCCAACCGATTCTTCGGTCCGCAATGTCCCTAGTCTGAACGCCGCCATGTTTTTCCGGCGACTCGAGCGCCTCTATAGCTCCTGGAAGGTATCGAACCAGCGCTGTACCGTTTCTTAACACGTCACTGTTGAGTCGTTTCTAACCGTAACCTGGTACTTAACTTCTAACGGTATCCTAACCGTTACGTCCCTGATATGGTCCGTATCCTCTAGACAGATAGTGCTTGGGGCGGCGTGGACTCGTTCTGCGTGCTGGCTGGTCGCGCCCAACAAGAAGAGTCTGGCTACCGCAAGTCGGCCGTGCTGCAGATCTACTTGCTGGGCTTCCTCGAGTTCCCTGAGACGCTGATGGTGTTTACACCTGCGAAACTTTATATCCTCACGGGCGGCAAGAAGTATACAATGTTGGAGGAAGTGGCTCACGCCAGTCCTTCGTCGTCCAGTGTTCAGCTCGAGCTGCTCAAGCGGAACAAGGGAAAAGACAATCAAGCCAATGTGAAGGTGCTGCTGGACGCGATCAAGGCCAGTGGACCGAAAACAGGCATGCTGACCAAGGAAAATCCACTGGGAGACTTGGTGGCGAGCTTTAAGAAGGCACTGGAGGCTGCTACTGACGTGGAGCAAGTGGACGTGAGCAAGGGTATTGAGACTGTGCTGACGGTGAAAGAGAGTGAAGAGCTGGAAAACATTCGATGGGCGGGTGCCTTATCGAGTAAGGTATTTAAGCTCAAGTTTATGGAAGACATGGAGCAGATTATTGACGACGAGAAGAGCATTAGTCACGAAAAGATTTCGATGGCGATCGAAGACGTGTTTGACCACCCAGGCAAGATCAAAGTGACGATTGATCCCGTGGACATTGAGCCGTGCTATCCTCCAATTGTGCAATCGGGAGGCAAGTATGACCTGAAACCCAGTGCACAGAGCAACCGCGACCCGATGAAGTACGATGTGATTGTATGTTCACTTGGTGCGCGGTACAAAGGGTATTGTTCGAACGTTGGACGGACATTCTTTATTGACCCGACGAGCTCGATGGAGAAGTCGTACGAACTGTTGCGGGAGGCGCACGAATTGTGCGTGAAGGAGCTGCAGCCTGGAAAAGTGGTAGGCAAAGTAGTAGAGAAGGTGCGCAAGTTCATCCAGTCTAGGAACGTCACGCTGTTTGGCAAGCTCACGAAGAATCTCGGATTTGGTATCGGATTGGAGTTTCGCGAGTCCTGCAATCTACTCACTGGCAAGAACCAGACAGTGATCAAAGAAGGCATGGCTTTCAATGTGGCTTTCGGATTCAACGATATCCCGATTCCAGAATCGCAGCGCAAGAAGAAGAAAATCGACAGCTACGCGGTTTTTCTTGCCGATACTGTAGTGGTGCTGGAGAACGAAACAAAGTATTACACGAAGGTACCAAAAGCATGGAGCAAAGTGCGATACGACATTGACGATGACAACGATGATGCAGCGGAAGAAGAGCCCAAGAAGAAGTCCAGCAAAGGCAAGGGAAGCTCAGTTCATGCCTCAGTTGACACGTCGCTGTCTGGTACGCGCAACCAAGTGTTGCAGTCGCGTCTGCGTGATCAGCAACGACAACTCGAGGGTAAAGAAACGGACCAGGAACGCCGTGATCGTCATCAGGCTGAGCTTATGCGTCGGAAGCGCGAAGAGGCTATGCGACGATTGGAGGAGCAAAACAGCGATAAGTCAGATGATCCGAAGAAGGAGAAGAGTATCAGGGCTTACTCGGGTCCACAAGACTATCCGTCCGAGCTGCGTGAGCGACAAGTAATGGTGGACATGCGTGCCGAGGCAGTTATTCTGCCCATCAATGGAGTTCCCGTACCTTTCCACATCTCGACGATCAAGAATGTGAGCAAGTCCGAAGAAGACAAGGCGACGTACTTGCGTATCAATTTCTACGTGCCCGGCACGTCGTTAGGACGTGACGTTCTCCCGGCCATGGCAAACGCGATCATCAAGCATCCGGACAAGATGTTCATTAAGGAGCTTGGCTTCCGCTCATCTGACGCGCACAACCTAAACAACCAGTTTCGTCTGATCAAGGAGCTTCAGAAGCGCGTAAAGCAACGTGAGCAGCGAGAACAGGAAGAGTCCGACCTAGTCGTACAGGAGGACTTGATCCTGACACGTGATCGCCGCGTGCCACGCCTAATTGACCTGTCGGCTCGACCGCATTTGACGGGTCGAAAGACGCATGGTACACTGGAGGCGCACTCGAACGGCGTACGCTTTATGACGAACAAGAACCAAAAGCTCGACATTCTGTACGCAAATATCAAGCACGCGATCTTTCAGCCTTGCGACAAGGAGCTCGTCGTGCTGATTCACTTCCACTTGAAGAATCACATCATGATCGGCAAGAAAAAACAGAAGGATGTGCAGTTCTACACGGAAGTGATTGAGGGTTCGCAGACACTTGACAACCGACGGCGGTCAATGTACGACCCGGACGAACTCGATGAGGAAAATCGCGAGCGTGCGCTGCGCGAGAAATTGAACACGACTTTCAAAGAGTTTTGTCACAAGATGGAGGGCGTATCGGAGCGACACGGAAAGTCGGTAGTGTTTGACATTCCTTACCGGGAACTAGGTTTCATGGGTACACCGTTCAAGGAGATGGTGCTGCTGCAGCCGTCGGTGCATTGTCTCGTAAGCCTCACGGATATGCCGTTCTTTATCATTTCATTGGACGAGGTGGAGCACGTCCACTTTGAGCGCGTCATGTTCTCGTCCAAGAACTTTGACGTTGTGTTTGTATTCAAGAACTTCGATGTCATGCCAATGCGGATCAGCGCTGTGTCCATGGGTGAACTTGAGCGCATCAAGGAGTGGCTAGACGACATTGATATTTGCTTCACCACGGGTACTGCGAACCTGAATTGGAAGAGTATCATGGCTACGATCAAGAGCGACCACCGCTTCTACTTGGACACCGATGACGATGGCGTGCCGAAGCCGGCTGGATGGGAGTTCCTCAAGGTGCGTCATGTATTATTTTGGTTTTTCATCCGACTATCCTTGCTTACACTGTTGTTTATGTCGAGTAGATGGAAGGCTCGGATGACGAGGACGAAGACGAGGAAGAAGCCGGTGATAGTAATTACTCGGGTGGCTCGGACGACGATGTGGACGAGAGCGAATCGAGTGATTCTGATGGCTCGGACTGGGAGTCTATTGTGGACGAGGACTCGTCATCTGCCGCACAGTCCGAAGAGGAGGAGGACGCGCCGTCCTGGGACGAGCTGGAGAAGGAAGCGCAGGCGTCAGACCGCATGCGCAATGAGAAGCGTGGACCTGACGACGAAGATGAAGACTACCGCCGTTCGTCCAAGAAGAAAAAGTCACGCCACCACTAAGCGCTAACACGGCCGTGCGGCATTTGTTTGCGCATGTTGCTGCGTGTATTTCCTTGTGGCGAATACTATCTTTGTGAACGCTTTCGCTCGCATTTCTGTAAATTGCTGTGATTGCATGAAGCCATCGGGCGCTATATCGATCGAGGTTTCGATCACCATTTTGACAGTGCTACTTCAACGTCCCTCTTGAGCCTTGAGGTCGAGTTGATTATCACTTGAATCGATAGACATTCAAGACATTGGTGCCTCCGATTAGCAGAAATATAGGAACGCTTGAGACCTTTGTCGAAATCGAGTACTAACTTATTTCGAGTTCCTGTTGCTTGCATGGCTATGGTCCTCTTCAGTGATGCACCACAATACTTGTGAAGTGGAAAGATGCAAATCGAATGTACGACCAAGATGTCGACGATTATCCGTGCACGACAAAAATTGTAGTTTGTCAAGGACATCATGAATCGAGGGGCACAATGCCACACGAAAATCTCAAGCGTAGCATGGTACGAAATGCCGCTTGCACGTTTGCATCGACTTTATCGTCGTACAGAGCTACTAAACTGACGGATTCACAGGAATGGTGCATACAAGATAGCTCGACTACACTCGTGCAGTGTTCCTAAGAACGAGTTCATGACCCCATTGATAAAAGAGCAGTGCTTGGATATAAAGCTTTGTCGGATCAAGCTCGTACAGTGTGAACTTACACCTCACCTGAATATACCTGCTGAGATACGTTGTCGGTATACTATTGCTTCAACTCGAACGACAAAAGCGATGATCACAGTGAACTTTTTGACGGTGACATGCGTGATCCTGAAGGCGGCACATAAAGGAGCTCCGGTTGGTGACTGTTGGGTACTTATAGATCGTGTGCAATTTGGAATTTGCTCCATGGATCCTCCCACGTACAGCAAACCATTGCCACAATATGACTTTGCAGCAAGTTACCGTCTTACGTCAAAAGGAATGAAGCGCTGAGTCCTGTTCTCGCTGCCCTTCCTATGGAAGTTCATATCAGAGAGACATCCATGTCTGCAACGCGCAAGCATCGCTTCATTTCTCGGTGACAAGCTAAGTTATGTCGGCAGTACTATCCTGTGCAGACCAGGGTCGTAGTTACGTTTATGTTTATGTAAGAATGCCTTGTTGACTACATCGCTTTGTCTTGTGCGAGTAGATCTACTACAGTGGGCTTGCATGTTTTGCGTTTTCTATCGACACGTTGAGGCAGACTGCGCAGCAATCGTGCATAACTCAATTGATACTGCAGATTCTTCTTGCGACGACGACATCGTTGTAGCGAGATCAACCGACACTGACATTTTTTTTCTGGTCATAACGCGTGTGTCTTGAACTATATTTGTGTTCGAATGCTACTTAACTTGGCAGCTGTAGACCATCTTTACATACAACAGTTCACTGACAAATATGTTTGAGTGTAAACCCGTACTGGCCCTTCCGAGAAGTATAGTGTGTACTGTTCCGGTGATACTGTTTGCGTATAATTGAGATCTATTGCTGACAGCATAGACAGCAAGACGAACACCATCCGGCTGGCAGCATATACAGCAAGGTAAAGTTACTTCGTATCCTTCATCGGCAACTACAAACTCACGCTTTGTCGGAGTTACATCCAGTACTTTATGTTACTCTAGGTTCCATATACCGTCAGGAGATTGCCGCCTGATAAGTGGACCTACTGTATGTTGAGACCAACGCAGTCACTCAGGGTAGTAAGCCTCGTACGGTCAAGATACATTGTTCACGCTTCCACGATGGCAGACTGCACCTTCGAATGGATTACCGTTCTATCTCTTTTTCCTTGATTCATAATGATCACATCACACTCTTCCTCATTGTGGTCCACGCGCCATCACCGTCGAGTTGTACGCTTGTTGATTACTCCTGCCCATATGCAACGCTGCACACAAAACGTGTCCTCATACTCAACCTACACCACAAACATCATTTAACGTATTTTCTTCCGAGCTTTATGAGGACTTGACGCGAACTCGGAACAGCTGAACAGAGATGAAGAAGGTGGGTCCATATTGCTGGATCAAGGCAGTGGAACGACAATGTCTGCAAATGTTCTATCCACACGCGACATCCATGCTCAAGAATACTCGATGCAGTTGTGGCATAAGGGGAACACATTGACATTCATCGTGGCACGGGTCTCTATCATCCACAAGTGCAACTGCTACGTAGGACGGGTTTCCGGCTTGCATCGTTCTTGACCATGACCATCACAGAGCGTGAGATTCCGTCTTGAGTCTTGGATAGACCTACGTCCGCAAGCTTTTGGCGCTGGTGTGGCGAAGGGGCATGCATCCGTACAGATTGTGAGTATCGTGCCATCGGATATCCTAGCGATACACTCTTACGGGTCATGCCCGATCTGCTCCATACTACGACGTCACGTTTACACACGTTTGCACATTTTCTACACACCGTACGGAGACGGTCGTACGACCGGTTCGCAGGGCCGATCCACGGCGCCAATCATCATTGTGTCGACGTCGCGTCAACGTCAGAAAACAAAGAAAAGCTCGAAGCGTATAGCGGTGAAAGTGATTGCCTCGAGATCCTGTCAACAACTTGACTACCTTTGTTACAGCTGATGTACTTGTTTCAATTGAGAAATATGTGGCTTTTGTGACTGCGGAGCTGGGATGTTTCGTCAATTAGAGGAAGTATCCTAGTGCGATACGCACCGATAGATCCCTATTAACTTTTCTCTGCTATTGACAAAGCTGATAATTAGTCTAGAGGATTCATACACTCATCACTTCTGCCGCTGATGCTGCTGCGGGATTCACACGTTGCTGATACGATGCGATTCTGACCCAGTGATTGCGATACCGTCCAGCTACGGCCATTCAGAAGCAACAAAACGTGGAAAGCTACGTATGATGTCTGATGGACCACGATCTGGAGGTCTAAGCTTTTTTTCGTGACTCGCGTCATGAGTGGTATGAGTCTTTAAAAACCCTTTCGCGAAATCGACGTACCAACGGGTGACACAGAGATACAAACTGCTCGAGGCCAACACTTTCCATATCACATCCTGACTTCTGATCGATCTTTCGAGTTCGAGATCTCCAATATCAAGCATGCTTACGAACGGCTCGCAGGATCTCGCTTGTCGGTTGCAAAACAGTCGGAGCGTATGCATGTGTGCACTAGCTTCAATATCCCAAGCGGTATCGTTTACTAAACGTCGGAAGCCAAACCAAGAAATAAATCAGGATTTCAGAGAGAGCAAGCTCCTCGTGCGGGCCACGGTTTTTTCGGCAGAGTCAGACATGGAACCACTGAGATTCTCAGACACTCTCCCGCCACCCACAGCTGCTGATCAAGTTGCGAGCCGTATGCTTGCAGCGTTGGACACCTGGCTGGGCAAACTCCACTACGCTGCTCAATTTTCTAAACTCACGAGTGATTAGTTGCACCTGAAAGCTCCAGTAGACACGGAATACTTGTCAAAAGCCGCTGTAAAGACTGCAAGCAGGCGAACAAAGGTATATCGTAGGGGTCTTGAAGTACCGCTGAGCTAACATCGTCTATGAAAGAGAGCGTGTGAATCAATGGAGGCAATTTTTGGACGGATTTGATCAAGTGACATTTAGAAGTTCGCACAGTCACAAAACTTCCATGTAAGAAGATGGTGATGTGTTTACGACGCGAGAACAGCTGCGGCGACGTAAAACAGCGACTCGCTAGAAGTTAACGTAAAACGACCGCAGCTTCAATAAAGTCTTTCCCCATCAAGAAAAGTTCGTGGCTGTCGACTGCTCGATACCGTTACAAAGTGACAACAGCAGCAGCTCGAGTTCTGAGCGTCTCCCCTATCTCGTCATTCTTCAATTGACACTCAAGCCTCAAGCGACTTACCAACTCCTCCACAAGTACCACCAATTTCAACAACCACACGACAACAAGATGTCTTCTCGATTGACCTCTTCTGCTGCCGTTGCCCTGCGCCGTCGTCAGGACCCCAAGCTCATGGACAAATTCAACCTCGCCTCGCTCAACGGCGGCAAGAGTCCGTTCATCGTGTCGAGCAACCAGCTACTAAAGGTGGACAAGAAGCCGGTGACGAGCTCAACTTCTAAGCCTCGTGCCGTGAACAAGCTCTCGCTTGAGTATCTGCTGGGCCCTCGCAAAGCTCCGACAGGCACCACACTTTCGAAGTAGAATCCATTCGACGTTCTCGCCGGTGGCTCCAAGCTCTTGTCGCAGCACTACTACAGTTTACGTTGTAGTGTTAGTATTTCGTCACTCTGACTCGGTTGGTTGGTCGAAGAATAAACGAAAAAGTACTGCGTTTTTGCTAACAGTTCTGACATTGCATACAATTCGTGCATACCTCCCGGATCTAGTCTCGTGGCGTCGACGTGACCGATTCGTTGTGAGCGCATTTACTTGCATTCTTGTTGTGTGGCTGACCGGAGGCTTCCGACCGTGGCTTAGTATCTAGCAGCACTCAGGTCGTCGAACGTGCGGTAGAAGAGCTGTATTTTGAGTAGTCTACTCGCTGTTGAGTCTGATCGCGTCATACGTCAACCGGCCGGTGACAGCTCATCAGCCAACACGGCCACCTTATCGCTTCGTAACACCGCACTCTTCTCCATGTTCTGCTATCAAGTGTGACTTCTTCGATCGATCGTTGTTCGTACATGACACGAGGTCACGATAACACAACTCACCTCTTTCAACTTCTAAGAGTTCGTTGAGAATGTAGCCTGGATCACACAGCAAGGCCAACTTCTCGTATCTTCGTTGGGCAAGCGTTCCGAAATCAGTGTCGAGCGCAAGAAACTCATTGGAAAAGGCTAGCATACAATCTAATCATGATACGGCGTGCCGAAAGTATTGATAAATGACTGCGCGTTGACCTGCTTGAACACAAGAGAATCTGACGTGTTGCGCCATGAGGTATCCCGGATTGCAGCTACCTTCTGTCATCCCGGCAGAACGTTTTACGGTCAACTAGTCAAGTCCGTCGAATGTTCGCACTTCAATAATGGAGGCAACGATGGTCTAGAAGGTTATCGAAACAGTGCACGCATGCGCGAGATACTGGTACGTGTTCACGTCGTATGCAGTCACCCACTAGGACTCTGCAGAGGCATCCTGTCATTAGCGTGAGCGTTAGCTGGAGCAATGCTTCTACGTCTTCTGCATGCAGTACTTGTTGTCCTGATCAGCCTCGATTATGTCATCCTACTACGTGTGGTTGTAGCTCGGCATTGATGCTCTGTGTCGTCAGATAGACTTGAATGTGATCGACGAGATACGCCTTTGTGTCATTTAACACCTAAAGCTGACCTGGTATCTAGTCGCTTGTCGGAATCTGCACGTAATCCAAATGAACATGACAAGATATAGTAATTCATCCAGGTACTCACCACATTTCGTCATCGCGCTTACGACCAACGAACACGATTGCCTATCTATCAACGATCAGCAACGCACGAAGATGTAAGCGGTCCATAAGCAATCGGTCTTGAACTGCTACTACAACAAAATGGTGATGCGTTGTGCGCCTCTGAAAAGGTGGTGTATCAAACAGGTCGCATCACAGTATCTACATGTCCATGGCGCTAGTAGATCGACATAATGTGGAGGCAGCGATCAGCTGTATTCCACTAATGCTTCTTGAGATACAGGCACGCATACTTCAACTGATGTTCCAGGCCAGCTACCACAGCGGTTTATACAGGATGTAAGAAGGCAGCAGCAAAAAACACGATCTGCACGTGTGTTCGTATGGTCGTGACGGTATCGGTAGCTGTCACGTAGGCATTGTGATGCTACAAGGAGCCCAACGATACTGTCTTGTCGTGCTGGGCGAGTTGTCAGATCGTGAGTAGTAGTTTGCTCGTATGAACACCGTCATTGTTCAGAGGATAACGCCTCTAGAATGACGCTTTATGTATGAGATAACTTCTACACCTCCGTCTACTGAAGACGCTTCGCCCAACGTTGCAAGATACCACACCCTAATATATTGCGATGATGTGGGCCTATCTTTCCTGTCATCTGCTAAATAAACGCAAACAGCGCTCTAGACGGCGTACTCCGACAACGTGTAAACACTTGTGCACTAGATGTCTGTATGGTTGGTTGTTAATGTCGTGACCGGAAATCGCTAGACAGCTTGTCGCGCTTCACTGAACAGCCTATTGACCATGCTGCTGTCCCTTCACTGGCTATAAATGCGTCCTCTTTCGCAGTGAAAACCGCTAAAAACATAGGTGTTCGCCTAAACAATTGTGCTACGGTCAGGCTCTCCATTTGCCTTATTTTACAAATGCCAAAAAGGTTAAGAAAAGTCTACTTTCTATTGAACTTCAATACAAAGTCTCTAAGATAAGTCGTACCATCCGCGTTTTAAACGGTCTGCAGTGTTCAGTCGTGAGACGACGGCTCCTACAGCGGCGCAGGTGGAAGCCAACGGCGCGACAGCAAAATCTGCAGCGACGGAGACTGAACCGGTGAAACCTGCAGCGGTTGGAAGTGCAGCGGCGCCGGACGAGGCATTGTCTGTATAGGCGAGATTGGCTGCGTGGTCGCGTTATAGAGCGGAAGGTACGATGGCGGTGGTATGTCCAAGTGCGGGAGTCGCGATGGCGGCACTTGGTACGAATCGGAAGGGTCCCACGCGTCTTTGGATTGGACGGGCTTAATCATTGCATGTGAGGGACACTGGAGTCGGTTGTGGCCAATTCCAAAGCAACGGTTGCACGTGTTACGAGCGAGATGCCTCCCCACTCGCACAAAACCCGACGGATGGCCCGTCGTGGATACCTGGTGCGACCGTTTTCGAGAATTTGTTTTCTACATGCAGAAGGGAAGAGGGATACCAAAAAGCTTGGGGTTGAGGGTTTTGTCGTTTCTGTCGATATCCAACCGCCAGTGTCCAACGAAATCACTTACTTCGATGAATTGTCTTGTGTCAATGTGGCAGCAGATCAAGTATACACATAGAAAACCCTGGACTCTTGAGTGGTAGCCAGTGCACGTCTTGAAGTTCGCACGATCGAGGGCGAGCAGATACTATTTTAGGAGCACCAGCGCGTATTGCTGCATCTTGAGATGAGGTTTCGAAAATAGCTCAACGAACAGGTTCGCGAGTATCTCGCATCTTTTCCTTGCCGTTGTTTTGCTAGTTCTCTTGTAATTGGATTCAACAACCTTTGAAATGTTCTCGTTGACGTCGAGAAGCGTTTTGCTTGCGCTTTAAGCCAACCTTCGATGTTTGCGCGATGCCCACCCTCAACTGGTGAGAGGACTGCATGTTCAAGATGTTGGAATTGGTCGATGCTGAACGAAGCTTAATGGTGTCGAAGGGGGAACGTGTTCTTATCGAAGTATGCAATTGTTCTGTTGTCCTGTATATAAAATTAAATCTCATATCCACATTAACATTAAAATGGAACAATCAGTTGAACAGACAATGAATCCATGCTATGTGAACTTACTGCAATAGTTAAGAGCTGTTGCTGAATCTTCGTTACAAAACTCCTGCAGCCGCATGGGAAATAGTGATCCAGTGGTTCATGAAAGCTATTTAGACATCCTCATCGGCATTCGAAAAAAATCGACAGCTGTTATTAACACAATTTGGGATATGGATCCGACAGATTACCAAAAATGTGCGTGGCCATTTCTCAGTAGTAGCTTCAATGAGGTGCGACGTCGCAATCAACAACGAGAATATTTGGAGCCCGAGCAAGAATCCTGTCGATCTCATTGCACATCAATGCCTATTCAATAAAAGCTTCATCATCCAGACATCCAACTTCATCAGTGAATTTCTGAGTTTTACACGTAAATCCTACCTCGTGCAGGGGCGGAAGAACGTAAACAATTAAAACAACCTTCTCATATTGGCGGTGTAAATTCCACTGAATGTTGTGATTACCAAAAATGATGCTGGGCGTAATCTTATTCGTCCACAGAGACCGTAGCATTAATGTCTTGGACTTTTAGGTGCTTTATCAGATCCTACATGTAATTTGTAACGCTCAGGTCGTTCAAATTCGCCATTTTAACAATATTTTGTGCATCACTTGCCTTGATCAGGACGCCCATCCCCTTAGAATGGTTAAAAATACTCTATCAAAGAAAATGATGAGCAAATAAAACTTTAAAACAGTTTCTTCAAGAGTTGTATTTGTACACTACTTACTCGTACAGTATCTCCATCTTTACGCATCTGTGTAACCTTGGCGTCGACATGTTCCCATTCTTCTGTTGCACAACAAGCCGTCTGTAGTGCCGAGAGCATGGTAAATTCAATACACCTGGTATGGCCATTTTTACATTTATTTTCAGAAAGCGTCAATTCGGCACATTCTTCCGGAGAATAGATGTCATATATGATTGAAAGCTCGAACAAGCCCAAAAACTTTTTTGTACAACGATCTTGCAATGCTATAGGCCAATCGTGTGATCGCTTGTAGTGCTTTCCGTGTATAGCGTAGAAAAACTCGCTCGGTGCCAACGCTATTGCTGCAGAAGACGCTGACGGCGAAGTCTTGGCTTACGAAGTACTGTTCGACGGCCGCTACAGCTTCCTTCTGGTTGTCGAAAGTCCCGGTCGGTATTTGTTTCTCATACATCCATAACAAAGCATCGTTGTCTTCGACAAAAATGGTTGGTCTTGATGCACCGTTACAAAATCGTCATTGGTCTTTCGGTTCTGGATGAGCCATTACAAAACCTTCATCGGTAATTTGGTTCTTAGTGGATCCTTACAAAACCGTAGTTGGTCGCCCACTCTCGAATTGTATAGATTATATTTAGTAATGCTAGTTGTGAGAACACAAGCCACCAAGGCAAAATTTGCTAAAATAATCACTATTACTTTCTTCTTATTCTACCTCTCGTGTAGAAAACATTATTTACACAAGCAGAATCTGCTGCATTAGTGGAAGAAGATGATAAATTCATCGCAATGATCAAAATGACAAAATGTTGATAAAGACCGAAATCGATGGCCACGACTCTTACAAAAATGCGTTCATATTTATTACGACTAACGGATAGCAGGTATAATTTACTTTTACAGTCGAAAGGTATTCATCATTCATCCCTCAGCTTTTTTTAGTTCATATATCCTTAAATTAAGGACTCGGATTGGTCGGAAAGATAATTAAAACACAATTCCAGTATCCAAACTGGGATTCGAATTGCTAGCAATGCTTAGTGCTGATGTTAAAATCACTCACATATGTAAATACAATCGTTTTTTCACGTCCATTAGTTTCTATTTTGGGCTACAGACGCTCTCCTTAGCATTACATCAACAAGGTCATATCTTCTCGGCATCATCTGGTGAGGTCAAAAAAAGGAATCTATTAATAATTTTGCGCAAAAGATACCTAGTGCGGGCAGAAGCAGCCAAAAGCACGCCATATAAAGTACGTGGTGTGGTCGTTCAGGACCTTTCAAAACAACAATACACAGGCGACGCTAGTTAGCCGTGTTGCACAAAACCTATCAGGAGCAGCAAACATTACCAACCTGCTTGTACTTTCTCAAAAGGGAAAGCAACAAGTAAAACCATGTTGGATTCCTACAATAAACACCAGTGTCAAGTACGACAACTAAGGCCAGCATGAACTCAAGCATGCCGATGCCTTACACTGCAGTATCCATGACAGCACAGATCATTCAGCTCAAAACTCAAAGGTATGTATTCCACACAGCATCGCAAGTACGGGTACCGATGCAATAGCGCCAGTATAAGACGCAAGCAACGCCTGGTGATACCGTTCACTGTAAATCCTTATCAGGTCGCTTTGAAAAACCTCTCCGTGTGGCCTTCGCTCGTATAAATCATAAGAAACTTTGATATCCGGGTCAAGCGACGGCTTGACATGCGCCTTTAGAATGATCAACTAAATCATGAAGAACATGATCGCTCCAAGCAATCTACAACCATCGAAACAACATTAGTTCGCCAGCAGTCAGTTCTTGTACCTCATTTATTCTTAGGCACATCCATGCACTTGGGCACTGGTAGTAAGAACTTGGCACCTGCTAAGAAGTTTGTCAAACTCCCACAACGCGACACCTGCGTAAGGCTGCAAACATCAAAAACAACGTTAAATAGGAATTACCAGCAATAGCATTAGGCACAACAGCAAGTGGTTTGGTCTGTATTCACTAGGTCATCAGCCACATCTATAATGCACAGTCTCTCTCTCTCATCGCTTCGGCTATGACCCCACTCGCTTTAATAGCCGGTCCACACGTCTACTTCTCTTGAACATTCAATTTAAGTACCATTGCTGACGTAGTTCAGCGATGACACTTGACGGCATCCACGTGTAGCACTGCTGAGCGTGTGCAAGGGTAGTGCCCTGAGCAGTCTTTTAAATAATTGGGACTGGAGCCCGTCTAAATACGGAGTGTCCTTCTTATCTTATAAATGTTTTTATTGAGCTTTAATGCAAAGTGGTCTTTTCTCAACCCTTTTATTTATCATGAAAAAGGCTAATGGATAGTCGAAAGCGTAACATAGCTTTTTAGATGAACACATGTGCTTTACGCGGTCTCTCCTTGGATTACGGTTTCCCCTTTCACAGTCGTTAGCGTCCACTTCGCGTCTGCTTGCACGCTGAGCTGGCTTTAATTGTGAGCCCGAAGGGTGAAGATATTAGTTTATGCGCAATGTTGATTAGAGAACTTTTAATTGTATTTATCTGTCCTTAAGTCTACGTTTGTGTCCGTAGACAACGCATTTATGTGTACCTTACCTGTACTAAGTGCGATCCAGACTGTCCCGTCCACATAGTTATATAGCAGAGTTTCAAATTGGCCGCCCAAACCCACGCCCACGCTCACGCTTACCCATGCGCATGAAGTATATGGCATTGGTCCAAAAGACAATTCTTGGGTGAGCGTGGGTGGGCACGACTTCGCAAGCTCATATTTATCTAACACGATAATTTGAGACAAATTTGATGTAAGAGGCTTATTTGTATTGTATAAATTTGGTAAAAAAACTAGGCAACAGAATTTGGGTGGGCGTGAGTAAAGGCGCTGGATCTGAAAAAAACAATCGGGTCGGTGTGAATGAATGCGGTAAGCTTTGACTTGGAACTATGGTACACAAACAAATACGAAGTTACTCTTTGGCAAAGTCACTATTGTAACGCACGCACGAGGTTAGCTTTGATCAATCCAAGGTGAGTATGTTTACATAGGCAAATGCTGGAAATTATCAACAAGGCCGATCGCATAGCCCTGACCTACTGTACTGTGTTAATATCTACATTAACAGCATCATACCCCTTCTTCAGTGAATACTGTTGTATAGTGCTATGCAACTTGATTCAGCCATACAGACTGTGTTACTTATATCGAAGGGCGAGCTTCGGACCTAATCCCCTATCTTAAGATATTGCAATACCGAAAGGTGAACCTATGGGTGGTGATGCTGAGCCTTATGAATCATGTTCGTCTGTCTGTACGCATGTATGTCTGTAAATAACGCGGCTAGGGGGGGTACATTTATAAATACTGACACACAGGCAGACAGATAAGTATGAATTAAACCACTTCGGCATTACCACTGATAGGTTGACCCTTCGGGATTGCAATATTTTAGCTGTTTTGAGCACTTCGCCTAGGTACGCTTAGCTTTTCCCGAACTTGAGTGCTCAGTGCAATTTCCTAGCAACTCGCTTAGAAATCAGTTGGCATCGACTGTTCGTCTCCGATTGCGGTTAGTCAGACTACGGTGGATAGTTGAGCTTGAAGTAACATGTTGACTCTTCAAGTGACATTTAGGCTCGAAACTTACCGGATGTCGTATGTAAAAGCAGCTGATTATAATGCACACAAAAATTAGCTGCGGCAAAATTTCGTGCAAAATTTAAGTCAGATAGACATCCCTCGTATCCGCCTGAAACCTACACACATGAACCAGCTAGTCAATCCCACTTTACTCAAAAAAAATATGTGCAGTGCTAGCACATTGACGGCGATTTTTAAATGCATTGTGTACATTAAGCGCATGCAACATCAATGATGATCTTTATTCGAAAACTCGACAGAGTTATCCCCTCCGGTCCTTACATTATTAGTGCGCGCATGGTGCTATTGACTCTCTAGCGTTGACGAAATGGTGGTCATTCCTCATTTGATACCAAGCACAGCATAATCACTCAAAAATTTGTAGAATTGAGCGTGTGCACAGCGGCTTCTTTATTTATATCGCTATGGATATCGCCAGTTTATCCATCTTTCAAGGAATAGATTGTCACAGTTGTCGTGATATTTAATCGGACCCAGTAAAGACAGGCAAGCGGACATCGGTATTATTGAGCAAATGAAAATTTGCAAAGGTCTCTGATAGAGATCAAGGAGTGCTGTACGGCTTGATTCAATCTTAGTAGTTGCTAGAAAACTCTTTCAAGATAACACTGTTAAGGCGCGACCATGTACAAGTTTCGGACAAAGTCCTTTCATCTCATCGATGCTCTGTTGCAGCACACCACCACGGACAGTAGTAAAAGGAGAAGAAGTCAATAAAAGGATGTTAAGTCCTATCGTCTTGCAGAGTGTTCCGTGCAAGTTTCGTTCTATAATTGTTGTAATTTTGAATCAATGTAATAGAAGCTAAATCTCAGATTGCAGCCATAAGAAAGGGCACGTGCAATTCTTGTGCGCCTTATCATTAAAGCAATACCTTTTAGATCCAGTTTGATCCGATGAGTCGCTAACAGAACTGTACACATGTGGTATGTGTTGAACAGTTATTGCTGCGCTTTGTTGCAAAGATGTAGAAGTAAAAGTGAATACATTAGTGTCAACTTCTCTTGCTGTTGTCCGTCGACACTACAACATGTAATTTCAACGGCAATGCAAGTTGACTAGGTCAAGTTGCACATGGTGGCCGTCTCTCTCCTTTCCATGTGTCATCTCGGTGCCCGTATCTTCCAATATCATCAGTCATCTTGTCGCGTTTCGTCCGTAATTTCTTTTCCCATCTGTCAAGATGTCAACAACAGCCGATCAGGTGAGATCGAAACTTACCTGTGACGGGTCTTGTAGTCGAGACTTGAAACCTTGGCTAATGCCAGAGCTGATACCTTCTAATAGTATGGGGACTCTACGGGCGGATGACGCAAGTGCCTGCATCCGTCCGTATGTTATTCAGCGTGCACTATACTATTTATCTAATGTTACCAATCGGTGACTCGACTTACGTCATCTGCATGTGCTTCGACGTGAAAAGTAACTCGCTTTTTGGATTGAGAACGAGTGCTATGCACCACAGCACTTAGAAAGGCGCGCTTATCTCTTAGCCTGGAGCCTTCGATCATCTCGCTTTGTCACTGCAGATTATCGTTTCACGATTGACATAGTATCCACAATATCAAAAGAGCTAAGCGCAATAACTTCGACAATAAGTGAGTACCTTTTGCAATAGTTGATAAGGAATGGCGTGCAAGTGTAAAATTATGGATAAATACAGTGATCACTGTGTGCTAATTCTTATGTAAGCTGCAGCCGAGTAAGACTCAAGATACCCGAATACCTTTATCGGAGACTGGACAACAAAGACCAAGAGTCGGGCACTATGTGATGTATCACCCACTGAGATTATTTGGAGGAGTCATGATGCTGTATTAAACTCAACATAAAGTTTGCAGTTTCATGCAAAGCTCTGTTTCGACTAACCTGGCAATGCAATTGTCGACTTCGAAGGCGACAACGATGCCGCTATCTATCCTCTTCGTTAAATGAGAGCTGGAGATCGAGCAATACCGTTGGATGGCGCGTTACCAGGTTCGACGCAAAGTTGTCAGAGAGCGACGTGGCTTGACGAATGGAAGATTTGTTGACAAGCTCGCTTGTAGACACTAAACTTTTTCTGTTCAACTTGGCGTTGAATGAGCGCACCTCATTAATTTCCAAATTGTTTCATGCACCCGTCGGATAATCTATTGTCCTCTACTATTTTACCAGGTTTGCCGCTGTAACTACAGACGTAAATAAGCTCGTAGTACACAAGATTCCAGGAGATGTGAACACCGGGTATGCGATAGCTCTGCAGAGAATGTTGCGTAGAGTATATATCTCGTTTCATAAAAGTTCCCACTTTGTTCCTGTTGAACCTTGATACTAAGTCGATGACCTGATTGTACAGCGTTTTGTTGGTCGAACGTGCAAGCGCATTGTACGCGGCTTTATCTACCGCCTTAAATACTGCGTTCCAAGCAAGCCACACGTTCCACTACTTTTGATACTAAAGAAACGAACGATTTCGACATCACTCAAAAGTACTGACGTCTGGAGCTCAACAAGCAAAGTGATGAAGCAGCCGATTCACGCTGTGAATCATTTTACACATACTTGAAATGAAGACATCAAATGGCACTCAAGCATGAAAAGATAACGCATCCATTTTAACGTACTATTTCTGCAGGCTGCCTCCTGAGATAGACCACTTTTTCGACGATTGCTGTCCTCTGCAACGTGCCCCGTGTTACAGTGGTGTAAACATGCTGTGCTGTCCTGGATTACTGCAAACACTGCCTGACCCAAACTCGCGCGACCCTCGGTCACATATCATACCTTTGTTTTCTTCTTGGGAGGCGGCAAGCTGTCAAGTGCATCAAAGCTTAGCTCCACTTTGGTGTCCTGCAGGTTATCCAGATCACGGTACGACGTCGACACTTGGCGAGGATCCACTGGCAGGTCCCTCTCTGGTGCCCGCGGACCACCAAAAGGGGGGCCACGCGGAGGCGACCGACCATTATTGCCGTTGTGTCGAGGAGGTGATCGCGGAGGTCGGTCGAACGAGCCTCTTCGCATGTGATCATCGCGCATGGGCGGACCACGACCGCGGGGACCTTCATCGCGGTACATGCCTCGGCCACCGCCTCCTCCATTAAAATCTCTGTCAGGTCGCCCACGGAAGCCACCACTATTGCGGCCACCATTTGAACCTCCGCGTCCACCGAGGATGGCGGCTCCTCCTGCGCTATTACTAGTCTCAAGAGGAGGCATCGGGTGCTGTTCGTCTTCACGGTACTGCTCCCACATGTAGCTCTCGCCCACCTCAGCAATTTTATCAACCGCCAGCTCAGGATGCTTGTTGCGAATATGCTTCTTCACAAAGTCCATGGCCTTAAACAGCTTTGTACACAGTCGGCAACGGTGTTTGCCGTCATCGCTTGCCTTTTCACCGTAGTTCGCGTACGTGCTTTCCAGTGCCGCCTCTTCGCGAGCTTCAATCTCATCTACCAAAGCACGATTCTTGGCACGCTTGGCTTCCACAATTTCAGGTGCCAGCTCTTTCAAATACGCCTGCACTTTTTCATCCAAAGCCGCTGCCCATCCGCCGATGGCCTTTGCAGTCTCTCCTGTCAAGGAGGCTGACGATCCTTTTCTCTCTCCTGCTTCGGCTTTTGTCGCGTCATCCTTATTTTTCTCGGTAACCGCATCTTCTTCCAACTTGGAAGCGCCAGCTGTCGCAGCTTCTTGTCTAGCCTTCTCTTCATCTATATCACGAGCTGAAGGCGGCGGGCGGCAGAAAAGCGCAGGGTGCACGTGCATTATGTCACCCATGTCAAGACACTGCACACCTGCATAATAAATATAGTGGTGCACGCGGCGCAAATACGCTATAACAACGTCCAGCTTTGCCTTGTCAGTTAAGAGATTCGGCGCAACCTCCTCAGATGCCAGGAGGGCCTCAATGCCGAAACGTGCCAGCTTGTCTTCGGCACCATGAAACAAACGAAAGTCAAGCGCCTTGGCCAACGCAAGAGACTGCTTGTAGTCGGCTGTTAGACGCTCAGGCACTGACAAATACGACGGAGTCTTCAACGGTGCTCGAGCACGGTGAGGTGACACTTGAAGACGGAAAGGCGGGAACTGGTTACTGTCTTCCACAAACGTGTTGTGGATCTTGGGCATGGCGTCACTTGCTGCTGCCGCACTTTCGTAGATAACGTACGCGGATCGGTCAAAGTCAAACGCGCTCTTCTTCACGGGATCCGACAGGTACAAGTGTACAAAAGGGCCTCCCTACATAAAAACAATACCATCAGCTTATTACATCCCAGCAACGTTGCTACATGCTTCACACAGCAAGCTAGCACACCCACATACCGCCTTCTTGATCGTCTCACTGAGTGTACCAACAGGGCATGCACACGGCACACGGCGCAAGTACAACACGCGCGCACTGAGCTCCATATCATTGGCAAAATCCTCTGCAGAGGTCCCGCTATTCTCTGCAGCCTGCTGTTCGTCCAGACAAATCTTGGTCGTTCCTGAGCGCACGCGTTCGCCAAACTGTTTGGCTTCGTTCATCTGCTGCATCATCTTTTGTTTCTCCACTCGGTGACGCAGCGCTGGCGAGTAGCGCTCTTGCAGCCACTCTTCCCGCTTGTGTTGATCGAAAAAAGCACGTAACACACGCTGCACGTGTTTCTTCTTGTACTCCTCGTAGCGCTGTTGATACACTTCAGGGGACAGCTCGTCGGTCTGTCGCATGATCCAGACTTTGTACGACACGAGCGGCTCGGGCACCGATGAGGGCGGCCGAGCGTCACGACGAGGAGGTCCAGCGTCATCAAAGCGAGGCCCCGCGTCCCAATCAGCAGGTCCCCGACCACGACGTGGCGGACTGCGGCTGCGACTATGACCACGGGGACCCCGGAACCGCATGTCGTAATTATCACGACTATCACTGCGATGTCTGGTACGAACGCACAAAATATAAAAACAAAGAGTAACTACCAAACCAAAAATCCATCACCTTTTAAACAAGATATTTTCCCCCAACTCATCACGTACCGACCGCGGAACTCATCACGTCCAAATGGCGGACGCTGGTCCGGATACGGCGCGTTCATCTGCGGGCCACCGGGACCAGGACCCCCTCGATGGTGGTCCATGGGTGGAAAGTCTTGACGCATTGGCGGCTCGGCCTACAGTGACAAAATAGAATAGACAAGTGATAAATTTAGACAAGATTACAAAGTATAACAGCATGGGCGCGTTTGTATCCTACATCAGCAGAACGACTGAGCGTCGTAGCAGAAAAGGTACCGGTACAGAGCGCCGAGGGTGGAGGGAACGTACCATCGCTTGGTCTACTGTGGCTGGCTGGCTGGCTGTGGGTGAGGAGAAGACGCTGGGGACGGACGAGACGCTCGGGCTTGGGAGTACGTAGAGTGGCGCGTGCTTTGAAGACTGTCCTCCACTGCTTTGTGTCGATGGGTACCGAGATGATGGTACAGCTGGATAACCCGGTATTTGGGATATAAAATATGAAATGCGTTCGGATTCGAAGCTTGTTGTCGCTCGAAGGTGGCAAGGTCTCGACGTGCTGTATCGTGACGGCCGCTTTTGTGCTATTTCTATTTTACATCTGATAAGTGCGCTATCTGAATTCTGGAGCTTCGTCACGATTAAAGTACGAGACGAAATGTGTGGTGTTTTGTTCGGTGATAGCGATAAGACGACGGTGAGGACGATATTTGTAAAGACAGTGTCCGAATCTTGTTGATAACTTGGTCTGACACGCAGTAGATGCATTAACAGCATCACAAACGGTCATTCGAGCGACAAGATGACGCTTAAAGCGGAAAATGGAATCGAACAGTTTTTGCGAGCCCGAAGGGTGAAACTATTGGTGAGTGCGCGCAAGGCTGAAAACCGAGCTTTTAAATCGTACTTAACTGTGTGTGTCTGTCTGTGTGTGTCGATAAAAAAACGCAGTTAGGTGTACTTACACGTACTAAGTGCGATCGAGCTTGTCCCCTTCTCATAGGTCGATCATTATGATAGGTCACACGCATGGCTGGGTCAATATTGTGATGCACGCACCTGATTGGCTTAGAATTGATCATAGGTGAATTGATCACCTGAGCAAGTGCTGGACGCTCATCAGCAAAGGCCGATTGCGTTGCCCTAGCCAGCTGTACCGGGTACATACAGACATAAATAGCATCACACTCATTCTTCAGTAACTACTGCTGTATGGTCTTTTTCACCTTGATTCAGTTTTATGAACTGAATTACTTGTACCAAGGAGCGAGCTTCCTTTATTGTCGAATGCAACGTATCGTCCGGAGATTACGATCTCTGGAAACAAAGTTGTTGTCGTGAACGTGAACTATAACCGACATTGCACACTGGCGTGATAACTTGTTGCTAGTGAAGTAATGACCTGAACATGATAAGCAACTCATTCGTTTTTTTTTTGTACTTTGTATCACCGACGATGTTGTATGAAGAGCTCGCACGCAATAGACATTCAAAGGTAGTGCAAGAGGGTGTCGAGGTCATCAAGACTCGTTAGCGCGGATCACTCGATATACATCAGCTTACATCCTCACATGTTCCCGTCATCCTGAGTGGCTGCCTTAGCTGCTGCTAACATGGTAACCTTAGCTTGCATGGCGACCGATCGCTAAACAGATTGCGCTTATACTTAAATCGTGTTGCGTAAACATTCCCATGCTTCAAATCTGTCAGCATGATATCTTCTGATCGATCAGTGTCGGTGCACGTCAAACAACTGTAACTCACGCGAAAGGAGATTAGTTTGGCCAGAGCTAAGGAGGTTATGCCTTAACGAGTTCATCACAAAGACTACACGACAAGGATGACTCAGTCGAAAGGACTGTGGTCAGCATAGCACTGGTCGAACATCTTATCTACTTCCTTGCGCGCTTCTGCTGGAAACATAGACTACATGGAGCACAAAGCCTCGTCAGTTCAGGTGCAAATTAACAACCCGAAAGAAGAACGTACACTCGTGGAACGAACGGCATGTTCACGCACGCAGCGCTCGTTGAGCCAGCGTGTGCTTTTTTGGAAAAACTCGACATTGGGCAGCACTTTTTCTAGCAGCTTTGCCTTCTGGTAACACTCGGACTCACGTGCGGAACGGATCTCACTGCAAAAGATGATACAAAATGTAAATGACCATCATCACTTTAACCTACGCAGAATGTGCGAGTACCTGCAAGCTAAAATGTCTGCCTTCGTGATGTCCATTTTTCGCACAGTAAACTGTAGCATCGCATCATTTGTGTCATTAGTGACATGTCACAGCAAAATCAACATGGACACATTTGTGGCCACTTCACGTACATCGTAAGCATGGATGAGCTCGTGCACCATGGTCTCCTCTACTTCTTGTGATGAATGGAGGCGGTTGGCACAGAAGACAATAGTTGGAGGAGGCGCAGAGAAAAAAGCGCGAGCGCTTCCTTCGGGTCCTATGAATATCAAATTAAAGAGTCGGTCGTTTTCCTTTTACTTGTCAAATCTTATCTTTCTCCACAAATGATCCGTACCGTCGTCTCGACAGTCGAGGCACACAAAGTCGATGGCAGCCGCTGCACTCTTGTCTTTGGTCTGTTGCTGGGCCAGGAACTGAGGAAAGAATCGTCAATAGTACACGCTCTTTAATCAGAAAGGATCGATCAACTCGCCTGCCTTGTTGATGATGCGCACAATGAGTTGCGAACGACGTTGCTGGAGCGCCAGGTGAACGGCGTCTTCACACTCGTACAGCTCCATATTTATTTACCTCTCAAAACTTGTCGATCCGGTTCCAGAGGTCCAGCTTAGCGCCCACACTAAATATAAGAGCGAAAGAGACAGGTGATTTCGGACATGGGAGCCTGTCGCATTGAATATCAGGCAACGTTGCGTACATTAAAAAGTGGGAATATGCAAAGTGTGGAAATAGTGCTACTCGAACACAGTTGTTGTGTTACGGTGGCTCAGAAATCACGCATTCGTAATACTACTTTAAGGAGATCGAAGGATCTACTCTGGGTATTAAAGGATATGTTAGGTACACATCATAATACTTTGAGGAAATCGAAGGATCTACTCTAGGTGTTAAAGGACATGTTCAGTACACTTCTGTAGGGCATGTTCAGTACACTTTTGTAGGGCATGTCCAGTACACTTTTGTAGGTCATGTTCAGTGTACGTTTATGTAGTGCATGTTCAGTGCACGTTTACGTAGAGCATGTTCAGTTGGTTTTTATGCAGAGCATGTTCAGTACAATTTTGTGTAGAGCATGTTGTCGAAAACGCGCCTCGGCCAGAAAGCGGGGATAGAGCATATTGCACGATAAAGCGCTTGCAGATGCACAATTTAGAGAGAAGCAGACGTATCGATTTCACCATTTACCGGTTGCAAGATGTCTGATAGATCATAAGCCTGATTAGCAACGCCGGTGCCTCGTTCGAGTCCAGTGGTTGTACGGGGCTGGTCACCATAGGCGACGGCTCTCTTGGTTGTCTTGCGATTCGTCGATGACATAATAGTAGGCGTGCTTCTTAAATTTTCGTCGTGGTCCTGCGTAATTCCCGCTTTTCTACAGCCCGGAGTTGCCGCATGCCGATTTACCAAAACTCCTCGACGCTTCCTGCAAGCGTGACGTCCGCGCGTTTAAAAACGACTCTGTTTCGTTGAATCTACAACGTAGTTACACAAATGCTGCTCAGCCGACGCCAGAGCCTCCTCCAGACCTTCGCCTATTCCGTATCTTCGTTGGATGATCCCTTCTTAAACGGTCTTCGACCACCTTTAATAGCGTCGGCGCCGACCTACTTGCACTATTGGAGCGAAAGTTGTGTAGTTGATCCAAACCCCAGCGTTCTCCTGTCCAATGGCATATCAGAGTCTGCCAACAGGGCTGCGCGCAAGGGCAGGACCAGAAGATGTGTTACAGCTTCTCGGTTACCCCACGACAGCAATGAAACTTGTGACAGGAGGGGTCAAGCCCCCTCCCATAAAACACAGGTTTGGTTGCCAACCGCGACTTGATATCAGACCCAAACCTGGTATGCTGTTTGTTCGGTGCCGTGCGCCAACAGGAAAACTGGTGTCTGTGATAATGCCTCCGCTTGCCAAGTGCTAGTAAGCACTGCCTCCTCGAGCGTGGACACCGTTAAAGTGAGTGCAATTCCTGACGCTTTCAACAATGGAATTTTAATGCCCGCTGGACGTGCTTGTTTGCAATAAAATCCGGGACACTCCACGGAAGCCCGTAAACTTGCGGATGCACGTAAAAGACGATGCCTTGGGCGGCTTTAATCCGGCATAGCGTGAAACAGTCGGCCTCCGTTCGCTGGTCATCAACGTTGTCTGCCGCAATGCTCCAAGGGATACAGTCTTATGCCTGCTCGAGCTGGATAGTAATGCGCTGCTCCAATAACTGAGATTTACATGTCCCCTGGATATGCCCCGGCGCTAAAAGTCTCCAGTCATATGCCCGTACCAAGTCAGGTGGGTGCTGCAGTATCAGGGGTCGCTGAACATGGAGGCTGGGCCCGACTGTCATATGTGGCTCACTCATCAGTATCGCAATCCCCCAGCGACGCAGCTTGGCCTCTTGATGGGTTCTGTGACCGACCAAGGGGATGACTATGGAGTAGGTGTGGACTCCGATTCTCTGTAGGCCCAGCTCCTCGATGGCTCAAGGCCAAATTCGGTCATACTTTATGGTGGTCAGAGGGTCTCCCCGTCGATCTAAAATCCAAGGGTTATCTGCCTAGGAGTAGGTGGACCAGAAGTCTTCCTCTTAATTCTTTATCGCTCGAGAACATCGGGACAGTGGCCGTGAAAGCTCTACGACCCATTCCGCCGATGTGGTCCATCTGATGGCTGTCGAAGCCAAACTCTCAATTGTTTTCATGTACCATTGCTTCCTGCTCGCAAGATCAGGTATACTGGGTACCATCCACGGCTGTAGCATCTGCAGAAAATTACTTCCATTGTGCCGTCGAGAGTAGACCGCCGAGGCATTCGCTCGTCTATGGCGATTTAACAGCAGGCCTCTGATCAGAAGTCGTACCAAAGACCCAAGCTTGCCATGCCGAATAGAAGATGTCCTTGCGTTGTGTAGGCCATAATATAGCCTGTTTTAATTGCTGAGTCTTGCATGCAAACACAATCGAAGCTAGCCCGACACCGCCGGCTTATTCAGAGTGTAAAGAAGCGCCGAGTTCACTTTTTGCCTCGTGTCGTCGGTACTGGTCGAGCATTTCCACAAAAACTGCTTCTGGAGATTCCGGAGCTGTTTGTCAGCCATACCGGGAGATCAAACACCGCTGCTGTGAACACAACTGACGGTAGAGTGATGAGATTTAAATATCAAGACATGGATCTCAACATTTGTGGAACGCTGCGTAGCTGTAGCAAGACGTCGTTGGAGGCTGCGTAAGCGCGCTTATAAGGGTCAAATAGATAGTCGATTAGAAAGTCGATTAGAAGTAAAAGCCCCGGGCGCCCATAGGCACTTTTCGGTATTTCCTTTTAATAAAACTTTGAACTTTATAATTAAAAAAAGACCATTTCACGTCCGTGAGATCTCCAGTCCCAATCAGGTAACCTAAGTAAAGCGTCTTTTTTCCGTGACGAAGCACTAAAATACCACAGAACTCCTCACTGTGGACAGTTAAGTTTTGAAAAATGATCTTGCCTCATCGTGGTTGCACCACAAAATCCGACAGACAGCGAAACTGTTTTAAGACCTGCAGGACACGTGGAATATGCCTCTCTTCTTGTAAACAGTTGCATCATCGACGAATGCTGAAATCTTGTGTCTCGTGCCGCCTCCATGTGGGACGGTGATGCCTGGGTAAGTAGGGTCATCATGGGTTGCCAGCGCAAGCACTTACGCTGCGATGATGAATAATAAAGAAGACAGCGGGCATCCTTGGCGGATACCCGAGCACACTTCATGTGTCCTCGAAAGCTCCCCATTGACCAGAAAATGTGCTGTAGTCCCGAAATGAATAGTCCGAATCATAGTAACAAACTCCGGCCATAATCCAAACCCAGCGCTAAGAAAAGAAAATTTGTGGCAAAGGTATCATATGCCTTGCGAATGTCGAGTAAGAGTATTGCTTCACTGTACATGTCCGCCACCTCAGGTCCGCACCGGTGTTAAGGATAACATTCATCGTTAGGACAGTCTTCTGCATCTGCTGTCCATGAACAAAGCCTTGCTGCAAATCTCCAATTTAATTTCCCCAGTACACTGGACCCGCGTGGCAATGACCTTCGCGAACATCTTGTAACTGGCTTGTAGAAGTGCGATTGGTCTGTAATCAATTTTACATTAGAACCCCCCTGTTTGCTTAGTGAAATGATCAGCTTCTCTAAAAATAATTGCGGTGGGTGACCTCCATGAAGTATCTCGTTGCCGACAGCTACCATCGCTGATGCGAGCACGGATTGTGTATCCTTAAAGAAATCAAAATTAAGCCCACTGCTCCACCTGCTTTTTGGCGGTTCAGTGCATCAATGCATGCTGTCACCTCATTTATACATATCTCGCGCATCAACAAATCATTAGTAGTCGCTGATAAGTGTCTGGTATCCGGAATCGTGACAAAAGAGTCGAACTGAGCACCCAGTAGTTGATGAGGTGCTTCATTGTGGACAGCATCCAAGATAATCTTCCATTCCAATGCAAATCGATCGGTCGTTGTCATGCCTCGCGTAAACGCATCCCCATTGATGTTTCAAATGGATGTAATGGTTTGATCCTTTTCAAAAATAGAAACTCGCTTCAAATTCCATCGAGTCTGATCCATCATCCGGTTCAACCTGTCACCCATTCGCACCAGATGTTCTTCCCTCGCCTCCTCGCTTGTGACTGCAAGATGATCCTGACGAGTTAATAGATGTACTCGGCTCTGAGCCTTGATATGCCGTATTACTGCTTTCCTTCTTTGGTCCGTCGCCGCCGCACATGATGAATTAATTTCACTCATCCTCTTGCGGTAGCATCTAAAAATGCACATGTCACTTTGTAGCCCAGGATTTCATCGATAAGAGCACCAAGGAGCGCCTTGATAACTCGAGAGGTATGCGCACATCTAATGATATATGTGTCCGTACGACGCTGTCGTCGTGACTGGGAAAGTAGTCCGGTATCCTTGTATGGGCAGCTGCACACGCTGATGGTCTGACGATACCCGTGGTCAGTTACTGACACATCTTGCACCACGGAGGACCAGGATTGCGTCACATAAAAACGATCTATACGACTTGCCGCATCGGGCCCCAAGTTTGTAAAAAATCGATGGGTCAGGGTCGTCACCTTCCCCATCCACTGACGCACTAAGAATGCAAGCATCTTCCAAAATATATCTTCTATTATAGGCTTGAGTGATGCGCTTTCCGGCCTTCCCTTACGTGTACCTCCAAGCCTGTCGAGAGGCCGACTTTGAACACAATTGAAGTCGCCTGCGAGCATTGTCGGTCGTTGATTCCACGATCATACCTACAACTTAGTGAAGAAACGCTCATGATAGACTGGTTTGTTCGGCGCATATATGTGCACCGAGTGGGTATCGCCCAAGTCGACTGCAATGACCCAAGCCGACCATCCCGTTGTATTCCAAGGAGTTTTAAGGCAGCTGCCAAAGGGGTCAATAAAATTGCTACCCCCGCAGTTTGTTCATCCCTGATGCTCCAGTACGACATCGTTGTCCCACTGTTCTGCTCAGGTTGACTGTAACGGGGTGAATCGTTACATAACAATTTATAAGAAATTGTTAATAGAATATAACTATAAGAGTTATATTCTCAGAATATTGTCATAAGGACAATATTCGGTAGCACTTCCAAGTAGTTCCTAATTGGTTGATATAGGCCATTATATCAACCAACGAAGACGCGCCACGACAGACGCACGCAATGAGTGGTGAGCAGATAACTGATTTACACATTTGTATTTAGACATAGTTAGATGAAGATAAATAGTGATTTATTGCAGACATTAACTATTATAAATACAGTTCTACTTTTTACTCTAACCAAGTACTCGCTTCTTCTTACTGTCTTCCTCTGCACGTACGAGTGTACGTGAAGTTACGAGGCACCGCCTTATTCTGTTATCAGAATAAGTAGCTTGTACTGTCACCAGTACAAGCTTCAGGGTGCCCCGTTACACCTGGTAGCACTTCGTAGTCCGTCCAAGGACCGCGTTCACATCCAACATGAATATGTTGGATGATGAAGATGACCAAAGCTTTCACGCTACGCGTGACGGCTACTCCCATTTGAGCGATGTCGAATGGGATGCGGTTGAACGAATGGGTTCGACCATGGGCATCCATGCTGTTAGCGTCATGCTAGAGGCTCTCAATAGAGACGCCCAACATGCTACTATCGCCAAGTTCATCCAAAATGAACTTGACGCTGAACGCGAGAAAGTAGCCTTGCTTCACCAACAAGGTTCTCAACAAGCAGAGTTGTTGAGAGAACAAGGTGCTCAACAGTTTGAACTGTTGAGACAGCAGCAGGCTGCTGCTGGCGGGTCGATGCACTCGCGTCGGCCCGAGACTTTGAAGATTGACATCTCAAAGTATAGAGGGGTCGAAGAAGACTCCCTCTTGAGATGGTTCGTCGAATTGGATGACGCCATAAGGGCGCGTCGCATCGACGACGGGGATATGCAAGTTGCATTTGCCCAATCAAATCTGGCAGGACGTGCCAAGACTTGGGCACTGGGGCTCAAGCTGCACGACCCATATGCGTTTGGGTCGTTGGAAGTCTTCAAGTCGCGGCTCAGACAAACGTTTGAACCGCCTAGAGCTGAGTTCAGGGCTCGAACCGAACTCTTGAAGCTCAAGCAGGGTAAGCGTGATGTGCACGCTTACGCTCAACATATACGACATCTTACGAGTTGTATAAGTTCCAATCCAGTGGATGAACACACGTTGGTTTCGGTGTTCATGCAGGGTCTTGCGGATGGTCCCGTCAAGACTCACCTGTTCCGGCTTGAACTAGATTCACTAGAACAAGCCATTTCCATTGCGGAGCAGGAAGACTTCAGTCTGAGACAGGCTCGCGCCAGCTCGACATCATATCGTCAACCGAGACGATATGACAACGGAGGTCCAGAGCCGATGGAACTCTGTTATGTAGAGAGCGAGAAGGCTCGCTCTACAGGCTACAAGAAGTTGCAGAGATGCAACAGATGTCAAAAGACAGGACACTACGCTTACGAGTGTAGTGCCCCTCGTCCAGTGTCTCGCGACACTGGGCGTAGTGACCGTCCACCCATGAGAAAGGGGCAGGGACGAGGGTCCGCAGTTGGTGCAAAGACGCAACAACGGGATGGACCGTCAAAAAACGGACAGGATCAGTAGGTGCGGAGCACCCTACTGATCCAGCAACGTCAAGAGAATTTGTAGGCCTCTTGATGAAGGTTGCTCCCAACACACAGACATTGTGCGTTGCTGCTCTAGGTAATGAGATCTCACTCATTACCTTGAAACTCGAAGTGACGAATAAGTTGTCCCTTCGAGCTCTAGTCGATTGTGGGGCGTCCAACAATTTTGTGCGACGCCAATCGCTAGAAGATGGTCACTTTAAATTCAGTGAATGTGACACACCTCCTACGAGGATGACGGTACGTCTTGCGACAGGCGCATCCGTAACAGTCATGAAGCGTATAGTGAAGATTCACTATACGCTAGAAGATACCCAATACGACGATGACTTTATCGTATTGGATTTGGATGACAAATTTGATGTCATCCTTGGAATACCGTGGCTCAGAAGGTACGAACCACGGGTAAACTGGCAACATCGGACAGTAACGATGCTCGCCGCTTGTTCATCAGATGGCCATCTGATGAACGTTTTGGAGCGTCCACAAGCGTGTGGATGTACTACGAGTGAGTGCGATGGCCTCACTTGTGGTACGGTCGTTAGTACGACTGCACAAAACCTTAGTGTACCAAACGGTTACACTTCGGAGCAAAGTTCCGGCGGCTGTGAGGAAACACAGGCTGCGCCGAAGGTCCACCACTCGAATAAGTCGGGTGGACTGGGACAAAGATGTATCCCTAGAGGGGAACATCTAGAAGAGAAACAATCGATCGCTCAGGTTAAGCGAAACGATAATCCTAGATCGACTGGAGAGTCTTTCGTAGAGGATCTCGCTGTGGTTGCGCAACCCCAGCTAGAGGAAATAAAGGGAATAAGTCCCAAGATTACAAATACGGCGGAAATAAGTTCCCCGAAACCCGCGGGAATAAGTCCCCGGGAAGACGAAGGAATAAGTCCTTCGAAGCCTGAGGGAATAAGTCCCCAGGAAATGACAGAGACATTGAATGTCATAGTCAATAACGGATCATGTGTAGGCGCTTATACACTTGATCTGATTGCGCCTCCGAAGTTAACTTCGGAGATCACTCAGTTGCCAACGCTCGAACATAAAAGGTTCTTGCGTGATCTGCGTAGTGGCAAAGTCAAGCAGATCTGCATACTCGTCGCTGACGACGAGTGTGTAACCGACATAAGGTCAGCAACAGTGTTTACTGAGAACGAGAGAGTTCTCAGTAGTTCATCTATGGACGAGAGTGTCCTAGATGAAAAGACACGAATTGAGCGATATGAGTCCCAATCATGGGAATCGCTCAAGGAAAACCCTCTCTATGAGGATTTGGTTGAATTCAAGGATGTATTCCCTGAAACTGTTCCGTGCGAATTACCGAAGGATAAAGGTATTCGACACGAAGTCGAGCTTAAACCAGGCTCGAAGTACTGTGTCATGAAGCAGTGGCCACTGCCTCGTGAACAAGTACTTGCGATCGACAAGTTCTTTGCCGATCGTTTAGCAGCGGGCCATGTGAGGGAATCAACTTCCCCACATAGCTCTCCGACCTTCTGTGTGCGAAAAGCAACAGGAGGGTGGCGGATAGTGCACGCGTTTAACAAATTGAACGCTGCAACGGTACCGGCTCAGACGCCGATACCGAGGAAGGACGTAATCATTGATGGTATGTCAAAGAGTACCATCTTTTCGTCCATGGATTTGATGGATGGCTTCTATCAAATCCTAATGCGGGAACGGGATATACCCTATACCGCAGTTAGCACGCCTAGCGGCATGCTCTGGGAATGGCTAGTAATGCCACAAGGGCTCAGTAATGCCCCTGCCACGTTCAACAGGTGTGTATCACATCTGTTGAGGCCAGTACGAGAATTCGCGCCGAGTTATTTCGATGACGTATTCATCCATAGTCGAGCTATGGATGGAAAGTCGGACGTTGAGGTTCACAAGTACCACGTCCGACAAGTTCTTACAATCATGCAAAAGCATCAATTGTATGCAAACCTCAAGAAGTGTATATTTGCAGCAAGCGAAATACCACTTCTTGGGTGCATCGTTGGTAAGAACGGTGTACGTCCTGATCCCGAAAAGATCAAGGCGATCACCGACTGGCCCGTGCCGGTCGATGTCAAAGGTCTTCGAAAATTCCTTGGGCTAGCGGCGTATTTGCATAAGTATTCACGCAATTACGCTGAGATGACTGTACACCCTCTCTCGTTTGTTGAAAAAGAACGAGAGGTGGTTATGGAACGCTGAATGTCAACGCTCCTTTGAGGGTATCAAGCAGAGCTTGATACAATCCCCAGTCCTAGCAATAGCCGATCAGGACAGGCCATTTCATGTGGTCTGTGATGCCAGCGATTTCGCAATCGGCTGTGCATTAATGCAGTACGACCTTGAAGGCGTTGAACGCGTCGTCTGCTATCAGTCGCGTCAGCTGCAACCAGCTGAGCGGAACTATCCAGTGCATGACAAGGAACTCCTTGCCATGAAGTATGCACTCGCGAAGTTCAGAGTCTATCTATTAGGAGATAGACCCTTCGTTGTTTACACTGACCATGCGTCCTTACGCACGGCAGTGAACAGCCCGCACCTTTCACAACGAATGGCGCGGTGGTTGTCATTCTTTGCAGAATACAACTTTACGGTCGAGTACAAACCAGGACGACTTAATGTCGTCGCTGATGCACTCTCACGTCGTCCCGACTTTGAAACAGTCGCGAAACCCAACAGTGAGACAGTCACTGTTGCGGTTATGACGTCCTCAGTTCCATCTACAACGTTGTATGATGATGTGAGGCGGGCATACGCCCAAGATGGTGAGATAGTGAAGTTGTTGTCACATCTCTCCCAACCATCCCGAGAATCGTTGAAACGATTGTCGCCTCGCGTATCGATCTGCATCAGATCGATACACTACTCGTAACGGTTTACTGTACTATACAGCCGTTTCTGGTGACACACCACGTGTTGTCATTCCAGATGATACTGATCTGCGTTTGCGGATCATGTTCGAGTATCACGATGCTCCTATAGGAGGACATCGTGGCCGAGAGAAAACATATCTCACGGTAAGTCGAGACTTTTACTGGCCCCGCCAGTATCAGTTTGTGCGAAAGTATGTTCGCGCATGCGAAGTCTGCCAACGAGTGAAGTCAAGTCCTTCACTGCGTGCACCTTTACAGCCTCTACCGGTTCCGGCTGAGTGCTGGGAATCCATCTCAATGGATTTCGTCTTCGGGTTACCCAAAGACGCACGCGGGAATACGGGTATTCTCGTATTTGTTGACAGATTCAGCAAAATGGTACACCTTGTGGCTGTACCAGAGACAATCACGGCAAGTGGCTGTGCTTGTGTCTTTATTGACACCATCTTCCGACTTCATGGGTTGCCCCGTGAACTCGTATCAGACAGAGATCCACGATTCACTGCTGATTTCTGGCGTTCCGTGTTCAAATCACTCGGAACGCGCTTGAAGATGTCAACATCTGATCATCCAGAGTCAGATGGTCAGACGGAACGTGCCAATCGTGTCCTTGAAGAGATACTTCGAGGATACGTCCACTCCTTTAAGAGTTGGAGTGAGTTTTTGCCGATGGTAGAGTTTGCCATCAACAACTCGGTGCATGCGTCCACGACACATACACCGTTTTACGTGAATGGCTTGCGCCATCCGCGTGTACCCACCTTACTAGAGTGTAACTCTGGTTTAAGGGGGGAGGGACTCGCGCGAGCAAAAACCGATTTGGTTCACGCTCATCACGCTCTGACGAAGAAGTCATTGCGTTTGATGCCGATATCGATAACATCGATATCGAAGAAGATGATGCCAGTGAGAGTGCGGAAGCCCTCACTGAAGACAATGATCCCAGTGAGAGTGCGGAAGCCCTCACTGAAGAAAAGGTTGTTGTCGCTGCAGTGCGCTCACAGCACACTGAAGCTAACGAGTCATCAGATGAGTTCATACTGGCTCGTGAAACGGTAGTCCGTTTTGTGCAAGACTCCATCGCCGAAGCGGTGGATAAGCAAAAGCAAAACGCTGACAAGAATGGAAGGGCAAACACTCTTTTATTTAATAAAGGTGACTTAGTCCTACTGTCTACGGTTAATCTACCAAAACATGTAGTGACTAACTTGGGTAGCAGTAAACTACTACCCAAGTACATTGGCCCATTTCGTGTATTGCACCGCCTAGGCAATGCATACACGATCGAGTTACCACGTAAGATGCGAACGCATCCCACGTTTTACGTTGGTCGGCTTAAGCCGTACCATCAGTACGCTGCTTCTTCCGATGAAGAACGCCCTTGCGCTCAAGCATCTCGCAGAGAGCCTTGTGCTCCCGATGGTGGGCATCAACAAGGGTCTGAAGAGCAGTTATCTCAGCCCGAGACCGATCAACAATCCCACGAGCTACCCTTAGCTCGTCACGAAGAGATGTCAGAGATCTCTCGTTCTCAAGCTGAGCAAAGGCAAACTCAGCTCGATGCTTCGAGGCAGTGTCCACCATCTGGAGACGCCTATTCCGCTCATGCTCGAGATCGTCGCGTAACCCTTGCGTTACGCGATCAAAGAAGCTCTCGGGAACACACCGATCCACATGATCGTGTGGAGAGCGTCTTTCCTCCTCCTCCACCTCCATTAGAGGACTCTCGCGGTGGCCAGCGCTATCTAGTAGAGCAGCTGTTGAACCACCGCGACGTGAACGGACGTCGGACGAGTTACCTCGTCCGGTGGCGCGGCTATCCCCCGTCCTGGGATTCTTGGGAGCCCCGCTCCCAATTGATGGTTGACGTACTGGGTCTGGTCGAGCAGTACGACGCGACACATCCTGTGCCGCAGAAGGACCGCCGGAGAAAGTCTTCCCGGCACGGTCGTAAAGGGATTTCAGGTTGTCAATCCCTTCGTACATCTCAGTAGAGACACGTACGCGCCACCACGGGCTGGTAAGGAGGTAAGCCTCCTTAGGTGCTCGTGCAGAGTTGTTCACACAACATGGGCACGAGTCTCCCCAAGAAAGGCAGGGTAATCCTTTCTCCTTTGACAGACGATGCAGCTTATAGCGTGCACCTGTCGGGGTTCGCTTTTCAAACTTATCACGAGCTTTGATAAGTTTGTCGTTCCAAGCGTCACGACCTACATCCTCGAGATTATGGATGTAGGCGTTCCACGCCTGAAGTAGTGAGGGACCATCACGTATGTGATTCCCACTGTACCATCGATGTCTGAAGAAAGCATCGATGAAGAACTCATGTTCAGCGCGATAGTCTTTCGCGCTGGGGTCAAGGTGATGAATCCTTGACGAATCGAACAATCGTGTTCGATAACGATCACTCGTCGTCGCCGACAAGTGATCCATGACAGATTTTGGAGGCATCCATGCCTTCTTTTCTGGAGCGAGACGCAACACATTGCGGTCCCGCTCTTCCTGCGACGTGCCGACAGAAGTACTGGCACCTCGCTGTGAAGTGGTGTCCATTGGAGAACCGACACCACTATTAGCGCCCGAGTCTCGCGACCTCGAGCGCCTTCGCTTCGGCGATGGTTCATCTGACTCATCAGATGAACCAAAGATGCTGCGACGCAAAGCATCGTCCATGCCACGCTTGGCAGGCGGCTTGGATTCAATTGCCGTCGATACGGATCCGTCATCCGTATCAGGAGAGTACGAGACACCGAGCTCGTACTCTGTGAAGACACGAGTGTCTTCATGACCAGCGCCTGCATCACCAGGTGATACAGGCTGAGTCGATTCAGCAACCGATGGGACATCAGTTGCTGTAGTTTCTGCTTCGGCGTCCGCACAGAGACGTGCAGACGCGCTCTCGGCGGCCTTGCTCGCGCATCGCATGGGCTTGTTTACCATGCGATGAGATGTTGGAAAGTGGACGCGGACCAACAAGTGCAAACCCCGTCCCAAGTGATTTGGCACGAGTATCCATTTAGTCAATCAGTCACTAAAGTGACTGATGGTTAAGGGGGGGGTGATGTAACGGGGTGAATCGTTACATAACAATTTATAAGAAATTGTTAATAGAATATAACTATAAGAGTTATATTCTCAGAATATTGTCATAAGGACAATATTCGGTAGCACTTCCAAGTAGTTCCTAATTGGTTGATATAGGCCATTATATCAACCAACGAAGACGCGCCACGACAGACGCACGCAATGAGTGGTGAGCAGATAACTGATTTACACATTTGTATTTAGACATAGTTAGATGAAGATAAATAGTGATTTATTGCAGACATTAACTATTATAAATACAGTTCTACTTTTTACTCTAACCAAGTACTCGCTTCTTCTTACCGTCTTCCTCTGCACGTACGAGTGTACGTGAAGTTACGAGGCACCGCCTTATTCTGTTATCAGAATAAGTAGCTTGTACTGTCACCAGTACAAGCTTCAGGGTGCCCCGTTACATTGACCCCATAAGCGGGCCCTTTGATAAATAGCTGATCCACTTTGTCTTGGCTGCTGACGTGAGCCTCTTGGTCATCCATGCAAGTGAGAGCTTTTGTACCGGAGTCCGACGCCACGCAGTGAGCCGCGAGATTCGATACTTGACCTGAAAACCCCTGACAACCTGGATTTCTATCCGTTGGACCCATTTAATTGCATTACACTTTAATGACTCCTTTACATGATGCGTAGTTTCCGGAGAAAGTGATGTCTGCCGTAGGCGTGTGTGGGTGTGTGGCGTCCTGTGCTGGTCGACGCCCCCGTGTCTAGTATAGATGTGCCCTTAGTAACTGTGGACCACCTCTATTATCCCGTGCTCAAATGCATCAGAGAAAAAGCGCGCGACAGAGCACTTAGTGCCGGTGGCCAACAAAGCATCGAAAGCCTCTCGATACGTGGCAATCATCTTCAGCGCAGCCAAATGCCTTCCCAGGCTGGGTAACGTACTCTTCGTCGTGCGATCCTCTTGACCCAGTAGAACCTTGATTTCGTGCTTGTATAAGCCTGCGCAAAGTATGTGTTAATCAAATCAAGATTACTTGTCACATCAGACACTTATAAAGTAAGATCAACCCTGTACGCATTAGTTAGTAATCGGACCCAGTCGTCACGGCTGTCTGTAAGCGCCGGTAAACTTTTAAAAAAAAATGTACAGGCCCGGTCTGGTAAATATGGTACGCCAAGACTCTAACCACTTTTTCGTCGACAAACCGGTTGCTTTAGAGCTATAGGCTCCTGATCGGACTTGTATACATTCACGTCGCCAGGCTCCGTCAAGATTTCTAGAAGCTGGTCTGTAACGGGGTTGCACGAAATCATGGTACTTTGTACCAGAGGTGTTACACACCTGAGGGTTCGCTTCTGTGAAGGTGATATAGAATATCTTATCGATTTGTAGGGGCTGACGAGTGTCAGCCATTAGATACGAAAGATCTTTGAGTAGGATTAAGATATTCTATAGGCTTTAACAAAAATAAAATCAGTTCCCATTTTGATCTGAAAGACACGTGGCTTGCGAGCCGTCTTGATCGTTGATCTCTGATCACTGAGAGTTAGCGACACCTCCTTGAGGTAGCTACTCTTGAGCACTAAGTGCTGTCGATTCACTGAATCGTTAGGTCCCCTGGAACAGGGATCTGAAGCTATAAAGCTTGTTGACTCGTAAAGTCGTTAGTTCTTTAGAACTAAGTTGCTCGTAGAGCGTTAAGTCTTCCTCTGACTTAAGGAGCTGTGTAGCTCCGCTACACTTGGTAGCACTCGTAGTCAAAATACGCCTGGGTCTTTAAGACTGATCCTCTGTGAGGATGGAAAACTCCACTCTCCTGTCTGAGGCCCAAAAGGTCGCGCTTGATAAGCTGACCGCATCTTTGGGTCCAGAGTACGTGGAGTTCCTTGTTTCACAAGGTCCTGAAGTGCTTAATGCACGTGTTGAAAGTTTCATGCAGTATGAAGCGACCCTTTTAGGGCAGGTCCAAGACCAAATAGCGTCGGCTATGCCTACACGCTACGTGTCTGTACCAGACGAAGAGGCTAAGCCTCGTCCACTTAGAGTGGAAGTAAAAAACTACTCCGGTAAGGAGGGTGAGAACCTCATCCTCTGGATCCGTGAGATCGAGATGGCCATGAGATCAGGTCTGATCACGCTTGACCATCAACAGGTCTCGCTGGCTATCTCGAAGCTCGATGGTAGAGCTAGAGAATGGGCCTTGACGTGTAGCACGTCGGTGGACATAGCGTTTCTCACATGGGAGTCGCTCAAGTTACAATTGGTACAGGTGTTTTCTCCACCTAACCAGGATTACCGCGTGCGCTCACGCTTTCTTTCTACCCGCCAGGGTAAGAATGAATTATCGGACTATGTCCAAGAGCTGCGAACGCTCATGGCTGCAATGCAATCTGACCCTTTGCCTGAAGCAGTCCATGTGACTATCTTCATGGAAGGTCTACGTACTGGCATTGCCAGAACCGAAGTTTTTCGGGTTCACCCCTCTATTTTTAAAGAGGCTGTGAGAATTGCTCTTAATGCTGGGCATAACTTCAAGTCGACCAGACTTGGTTGGATTGGATACAATCCTCGCTCTGTGAGAGCAAACTATTCGGGTACCACTGCCTATAATAGGCCGGAACCGATGGATCTCAGCTATGCTGAAGATGGAGGTGAAGCTGAGCTTCAAGCTGCTGAGCAGAAACACGTTGTAAGACGATGCTTTACGTGCGGAAGCACTAAACACTTGCGGCCTGGTTGCCCTTTGCGTAAGCAACGCCAGACTACGAGCCAACACTCGAGCCCGAGTCAGAAGTCTGGCATGGCACGGGGAAATGCCGACACCCAGTAGGCGCGGGGCGCCCTACTGGGGAAGAACTATGTTCTGTTACACCTTTAGAAGGTAAAGGAATGCAGGGCTTAGCCCCAAAGAGTACCATACCTACGGGTATGGTGCGTGGATACAAGTCTGGCTTGTTGGTCGCCGAGGCGAAAATTAAGGGCTTCGAGAAGCCTTGGTCGATATTGATCGATTCTGGAGCGTCTTGCAATTATGCTCGACGCCGTTCCCTTGAGGGAAGTCAGCGTTATGCTGAGGCGCTTACAGCGCATGAGGGTGATTCTATCACGGTTCGTTTAGCGACTGGAAGTCGCGTAACGGTGCCTAAAGTTCCATTGAACTTAGGTATAAAGTTTTTAGACTTTGACAGTATTGAGCGCTGTCTTGTCCTAGATTTGGACTCGAGATATGATCTCATCCTAGGTATGGCTTGGCTTGAGCGCCATGAGCCATGGATTGATTGGAGGTCTAAGACCTTAGGCGCTACGCGCAATGTTCCTAGCGAAGCTTTGGAGAGTCATGAACCCACCTTTGCTAGGCAGCAGAAGCGCTATTGGCGCGAGCCTTTGACAGAAGATGTCAATGTGCTGGATATTGGAATGTCCGAGTTATCTAACTCCAATGTTAAAAACATAAGTTTCGAGCCTAGCTCGTCTAAAACTAGTGAAACGGCACGTACTCCGTTGAGTGGTACTCGTTGTGATAACGAGTCACTGCATGCTGAAAGCATGGTTGGCCTAGGGCCGAGTGATCAAGGACGTGATTCCTTTGATGTGTGTATGGTGGCACGTGAAATTACACCGAGTGCGGTCGGCCGTGAGAGCACCGCACTGAATGTCGGTAATGGCGTTGTTGGCGATTCGCCATATGGTGTGGGCGGCCGTGAGGGCACCACACCTAATGTCAGTAATGATATTGTTGGCGATACGCCGTATAGAGTGGACGGCCGTGAGGGCACCACGCTTAACGCCGGTAATGGCGTTGTTGGCGATACGCCGTATAGTGTGGGCGGCCGTAAGGGCACCACACCTAATGTCAGTAATGACACTGTTGGCGATACGCCGTATAGTGTGGACGGCCGTGAGGGCACCACACCTAATGTCGGTCAAGACAAAAGCTCTCGTGTAGAGCGTACTATGGTTGGTAGTAACCATGGGGACAATATTGTCCCGACCCCTAAGGGGTGTAAGGTCTCGAAGAGACAATCGAGACGCCGAGTAGCAGCTGTAAAGCGCCAGGCGTCCTCACAGTCACATAGTGAGATTAGCAATACACTATATACACTTGTTAATGGAGTGACTGGTCAGGTTAATGGCAATGTGAGCCTCGAAACCCTTCCATCTGTGGACGCTCTGTGTGAGCTAGACGAAATGTCTGATGGCGAGTTTAGCCAGGCCTTGAAGGCAGGAGAGTTATCCGAGTTAGCAATCATTAGACCTGATACTGACTTAAATTCTTCCTCGTTAATGGATGAGTCTGTCCTAGAGGATACAAAGGCGGCACTTAATGCACGAAGTGGATCTTCGATTCTTAAAGATCCTTTGGATCCGTTCTATAGTCAAGGAATTTCAAGATGTGGTGTGTCACAACCCACCTTCTGCCAAGGAATTTCAAGATGTGGTGTGTCACAACCCACCTTCTGCCTTACCTCCCGATAGAGGTGTACGTCATGAGATTGACTTGGTTCCTGGAACTAAATACTGTGAAACACGGCAGTGGCCTTTGCCTAAAGAACAGTGCTACGTCATTGACGATTTCTTTCGTGCTAAGCACGCGGCTGGAATGGTTCGTGAGAGTAAATCTCCCCATTCAACACCGACATTTTGTGTCAGAAAGCCAAATGGCAAGTGGCGTATTGTGCATGCTTATCAAAGCTTAATACAGCCACTATACCGGCGCAGACGCCTATTTCCCAAAAAGGTAGTTCTATAGAACAATATGGTAGGATGTACATTGTACAGTGCAATCGACTTAGTCGATAGTTATTACCGATTGCTCATGCGAGCAAGTGTTATTCCGCTAACAACGGTGAGTACTCCGAGCGGTATGCTTTGGGAGTGGCTCGTTATGCCACAAGGGCTATCTAACGCCCCGGCTACATTTAACCGGCTGGTAACGCAACTATTCAGACCTCATCGAGGCTATGCACAAACGTACTTTGATGACATTTTTGTCCATAGTCGTGCAATGAATGGGCGATCAGATGTGGATAATCACATCGATCATTTACGAGCGGTGCTCGAGTGCATGCGAACAAATAAGTTGTATGCTAACGCATCGAAGTGCATCTTTGGTGTAGAAGAGATTCCCTTTCTAGGGTGCTTCATTTGGAAGCGAGGCCTTCGAGCATATCCCGATAAGGTAAAAGCCATAGTCGATTGGCCAGTCCCCAAGAACCAAAAGGACTTGCGTAAGTGGCTTGGCCTTGCCAATTACTTACATAAGTACAGTGCAAATTACGCAGATATGGCTCGGCCATTGTCCAATCTCCTTGAAAAGGATGTGGGTTGGTGTTGGGGTAACACCGAACATGATGCTTTTGAAGCAGTTAAGGAGAGTCTCCTTCATGCGCCAATATTGGCTTTGCCCGATTCTGGTCGGCCTTTCAGTGTCGTCTGTGACGCATCTGACTTTGCCATAGGCAGTGCTCTGTTACAAACAGATGTCGACGGACGCGAACGCGTCATCGCATTTGAGTCTCGACAGCTGAAAGCTGCTGAAAAGAATATCCGGTTCATGACAAAGAGCTACTTGCTATGAAGTACGCTCTTGTCAAATTCAGAGTACATCTGCTTGGCTCCAAGCCGTTTGTGATCTATACAGATCATGCTTCATTACGCACTGCGACATAGTCGCCTCATCTCTCACAGAGAATGGCTCGTTGGCTTTCCTTCTGTGCCGAATACAACTTTGAGGTGAAGTACAAGCCAGGTAAGCAAAATGCTTTGGCTGATGCGCTATCGCGACGACCTGAATACGAGCTTGCTCATGTTACGACTCTGTCGTCGTCAGTCACTGACTAAATTCGTGCGGCATATGCCAAGGACGATCAGTGTGTAGCTTTGCTACGTGCTCTTGGGAGCGATGAGTTTAAAGACTCGGACATAGAATTGTCGGCACGTTTACGTGCGAGGCTACATCGATATTCCATCGATAATTGCCTTTTGTGGTATCGCACGGAACTTGAGATTAACCCTCGTATCGTAGTACCTCATGATGAGGAATTAAAGTATCGGATCCTCTATGAGGCACATGATACTGCCTTTAGTGGTCATCTCGGTTGTGAAATATACTTATAGCTCCGTAAGCCAAAGTTATTGGTGGCCCAAACTTTATAAGTGGGTGCGCACCTATGTGCGTACGTGTGAAACGTGTCAACGGGTAAAACCCTCGGCACATGCGGCGGCGCCTCTGGCTAGTTTGCCGGTACCCAGTGGTTGTTGGGAGTCCATGAGCATGGATTTTGTGTTTGGCCTACCGAAATATTCGGAAGGCAACACTGGTATTGTGGTCTTTGTTGACCGATTGAGCAAGATGGCTCACTTAGCGGCTGTGCCGGATAGCATTGATGCTGAAGGTACAGCAAAGCTGTTTATCGACCGTGTCTTTTGCCAACATGGCTTGCCTGTGACAATTATCTCTGATAGAGACCCCCGCTTCACTGGGAAGTTTTGGAAGTCTATCTTCAAGGTGCTTGGCACTCGGTTGGACATGTCCACGGCGCATCATCCGCATACCGATGGTCAAACTGAGCGTGTAAACCGCGTCATCAACGACATTTTGCGCAGTGTTTGCGCTGATACGCCTAGGCGTTGGAGCTCAATGCTCCCTGTTGTTGAGTTTGCGTTGGATAACGCTGTTCATTCCTCAACAGGCTTTACTCCGTTCTATATAAACGGTATCACTCACCCTCGCGTTCCGTTAACGCTATCACTACGTGAATCAGGGCTTGGTGGGGGAGAGGTTGCCGATTGGCTTGCTGATATCAGCCCTGCTACTGTTCAAAAACAGGTAAGCGAGTTTCTCGCAACGCGATTAAATGTCTTAAGACATGTGCGTGACGCAATGGCTGATAGCCAAGATACCCAAAAACAACAAGCTGATGCCAAAGGCAGAAATTTTATTGAACGTTATGAGGTCGGAGACCCAGTACTACTCAATGCTAAAAATCTACCTACAAATGTAGTGTCTGCTGTCTTTAAGACAAAGTTGCGTCCACGCTTTATTGGACCGTTTACGGTCACGGCCAAGAAGGGACTTGCGTATACGCTAAACCTCCCGCGCAAATTGCGCACACATCCAGTGTTCTACGTAGGCTTACTTAAGCCGTACCGGGATCCTTCCCATGTGAACTTGGAGGCGCTTGCGCCGACGACAAGGGCACTGCCCCGGATTGCTGTAGACGAATCAGCAAGTCCAACTGAGCCTCGCTCCGAGTTTGAGCTTGCTCCATCGCCTGAAGGCGGCTTTGCATCGCATCCAGCATGCACTGGGACTTACCCAAGGCCTCTTGAAGACCCTTCACTTCGAGAACCAATTTCTCGTGGGCCTCCACCGGTACACCGGCCGCCACCGACTTTTCTCGATGAGCATGGGTGTCGTCAATTCCATGTCGAGAGACTACTGAAACGACGTCGTCGTCATGGCCAATACCAGTATCTGGTAAAGTGGCGTGGGTACCCTGAGTCTGAAAACTCATGGGAATTTGAGGTACCCCTTCGGCAAGACTGCCCATATGCTTTGGAGGCTTTGAGCATCGTGGCGATGGTCATCTCGAGGCCGAGGCCGTTCAACACCACTAGTGGTGCGGGTTGGCGGGTTGTTGGTCACAGACTGACCAGCACTCGCGGCTACCTTAGTAGCCGAAGCATAGCGCGTGCGCTTGCGCAATTGGCCTCTGGCCTTAAGCTTGGCATAATCATACCGAAGCTTGCGTTCGAGACGCACATCCGCCGCATGGGCACTAGCCCTAAGAGCAAAAATGTTGCTGAGGCGACGCACATAGTGCACCCAGTGAACAAAGGCATCGTCTTCTTCACTCGCTGTTTCGCCTGCGAGCAGGAGAATGGGTATACCCTTTATCGGTGGAACTGGTGCACCACGTGCTTGCATGTCAAGGCGTGCCTTGTATTGACTTTGAGTCGTTAGGTGCGGCTCCAGGTACATCTCACGAAGTGCCTGGTAGCTCACCACCTCCTCAGGAGTCTTAGGCCCATGGCCAATGACCCACGTTGCCAATGTTTGGCCGGCCGCTTGACGCAGACGTTCCTCCACACTGGGTGGGGTGAAAACATAATCACGCTGGCGTTCAAGGGTTGCAGTCATCTGTGCATAACGCTGAGCGTTTTCTTCTCTTTGAACAAGCAGTTTTTGTTGCTCATCGAGCGGGTTCGTGATGATAGTCTCATCAGAACCAGATGCTGCATGCTGCGCTGGCGGCGCGCTCGCACCTCCACGTTCAGCGAACGGATTTGGGGTGTTCGAAAGTTGTGCCTCAGGCATCAGTGAGCCGGACGTTGTCCCTGTGTCACCGCGGACACTGGTATCGCTACCATAGTCCACCTCTTCCTCTATTCCGAGGTAGTCACACAGAGCCTTTGACTCGTTTGGTGATGAGGACATCGTGCTGGAGCGTACGTTACCGTGAGGTTCACCGTACGCGCACTGTTCTCGCTGAGAACACGAGTTCGATTGACGTTTTGGCAAACGTCAGTCTGGTGGGGGAGGGTGTAACGGGGTTGCACGAAATCATGGTACTTTGTACCAGAGGTGTTACACACCTGAGGGTTCGCTTCTGTGAAGGTGATATAGAATATCTTATCGGTTTGTAGGGGCTGACGAGTGTCAGCCATTAGATACGAAAGATCTTTGAGTAGGATTAAGATATTCTATATGTAACGGGGTGAATCGTTACATAACAATTTATAAGAAATTGTTAATAGAATATAACTATAAGAGTTATATTCTCAGAATATTGTCATAAGGACAATATTCTGTAGCACTTCCAAGTAGTTCCTAATTGGTTGATATAGGCCATTATATCAACCAACGAAGACGCGCCACGACAGACGCACGCAATGAGTGGTGAGCAGATAACTGATTTACACATTTGTATTTAGACATAGTTAGATGAAGATAAATAGTGATTTATTGCAGACATTAACTATTATAAATACAGTTCTACTTTTTACTCTAACCAAGTACTCGCTTCTTCTTACCGTCTTCCTCTGCACGTACGAGTGTACGTGAAGTTACGAGGCACCGCCTTATTCTGTTATCAGAATAAGTAGCTTGTACTGTCACCAGTACAAGCTTCAGGGTGCCCCGTTACACCTGGTAGCACTTCGTAGTCCGTCCAAGGACCGCGTTCACATCCAACATGAATATGTTGGATGATGAAGATGACCAAAGCTTTCACGCTACGCGTGACGGCTACTCCCATTTGAGCGATGTCGAATGGGATGCGGTTGAACGAATGGGTTCGACCATGGGCATCCATGCTGTTAGCGTCATGCTAGAGGCTCTCAATAGAGATGCCCAACATGCTACTATCGCCAAGTTCATTCAAAATGAACTTGACGCAGAACGCGAGAAAGTAGCCTTGCTTCACCAACAAGGATCTCAACAAGCAGAGTTGTTGAGAGAACAAGGTGCTCAACAGTTTGAACTGTTGAGACAGCAGCAGGCTGCTGCTGGCGGGTCGATGCACTCGCGTCGGCCCGAGACTTTGAAGATTGACATCTCAAAGTATAGGGGGTCGAAGAAGACTCCCTCTTGAGATGGTTCGTCGAATTGGATGACGCCATAAGGGCGCGTCGCATCGACGACGGGGATATGCAAGTTGCATTTGCCCAGTCAAATCTGGCAGGACGTGCCAAGACTTGGGCACTGGGGCTCAAGCTGCACGACCCATACGCGTTTGGGTCGTTGGAAGTCTTCAAGTCGCGGCTCAGACAAACGTTTGAACCGCCTAGAGCTGAGTTCAGAGCTCGAACCGAACTCTTGAAGCTCAAGCAGGGTAAGCGTGATGTGCACGCTTACGCTCAACATATACGACATCTCACGAGTTGTATAAGTTCCAATCCGGTGGATGAACACACGTTGGTTTCGGTGTTCATGCAGGGTCTTGCGGATGGTCCCGTCAAGACTCACCTGTTCCGGCTTGAACTAGATTCACTAGAACAAGCCATTTCCATTGCGGAGCAGGAAGACTTCAGTCTGAGACAGGCTCGCGCCAGCTCGACATCATATCGTCAACCGAGACGATATGACAACGGAGGTCCAGAGCCGATGGAACTCTGTTATGTAGAGAGCGAGAAGGCTCGCTCTACAGGCTACAAGAAGTTGCAGAGATGCAACAGATGTCAAAAGACAGGACACTACGCTTACGAGTGTAGTGCCCCTCGTCCAGTGTCTCGCGACACTGGGCGTAGTGACCGTCCACCCATGAGGGCAGGGACGAGGGTCCGCAGTTGGTGCAAAGACGCAACAACGGGATGGACCGTCAAAAAACGGACAGGATCAGTAGGGTGCTCCGCACCCTACTGATCCAGCAACGTCAAGAGAATTTGTAGGCCTCTTGATGAAGGTTGCTCCCAACACACAGACATTGTGCGTTGCTGCTCTAGGTAATGAGATCTCACTCATTACCTTGAAACTCGAAGTGACGAATAAGTTGTCCCTTCGAGCTCTAGTCGATTGTGGGGCGTCCAACAATTTTGTGCGACGCCAATCGCTAGAAGATGGTCACTTTAAATTCAGTGAATGTGACACACCTCCTACGAGGATGACGGTACGTCTTGCGACAGGCGCATCCGTAACCGTCATGAAGCGTATAGTGAAGATTCACTATACGCTAGAAGATACCCAATATGACGATGACTTTATCGTATTGGATTTGGATGACAAATTTGATGTCATCCTTGGAATACCGTGGCTCAGAAGGTACGAACCACGGGTAAACTGGCAACATCGGACAGTAACGATGCCTGCCGCTTGTTCATCAGATGGCCATCTGATGAACGTTTTGGAGCGTCCACAAGCGTGTGGATGTACTACGAGTGAGTGCGATGGCCTCACTTGTGGTACGGTCGTTATTACGACTGCACAAAACCTTAGTGTACCAAACGGTTACACTTCGGAGCAAAGTTCCGGCGGCTGTGAGGAAACACAGGCTGCGCCGAAGGTCCACCACTCGAATAAGTCGGGTGGACTGGGACAAAGATGTATCCCTAGAGGGGAACATCTAGAAGAGAAACAATCGATCGCTCAGGTTAAGCGAAACGATAATCCTAGATCGACTGGAGAGTCTTTCGTAGAGGATCTCGCTGTGGTTGCGCAACCCCAGCTAGAGGAAGTAAAGGGAATAAGTCCCAAGATTACAAATACGGCGGAAATAAGTTCCCCGAAACCCGCGGGAATAAGTCCCCGGGAAGACGAAGGAATAAGTCCTTCGAAGCCTGAGGGAATAAGTCCCCAGGAAATGACAGAGACATTGAATGTCATAGTCAATAACGGATCATGTGTAGGCGCTTATACACTTGATCTGATTGCGCCTCCGAAGTTAACTTCGGAGATCACTCAGTTGCCAACGCTCGAACATAAAAGATTCTTGCGTGATCTGCGTAGTGGCAAAGTCAAGCAGATCTGCATACTCGTCGCTGAAGACGAGTATGTAACCGACATAAGGTCAGCAACAGTGTTTACTGAGAACGAGAGAGTTCTCAGTAGTTCATCTATGGACGAGAGTGTCCTAGATGAAAAGACACGAATTGAGCGATATGAGTCCCAATCATGGGAATCGCTCAAGGAAAATCCTCTCTATGAAGATTTGGTTGAATTCAAGGATGTATTCCCTGAAACTGTTCCGTGCGAATTACCGAAGGATAAAGGTATTCGACACGAAGTCGAGCTTAAACCAGGCTCGAAGTACTGTGTCATGAAGCAGTGGCCACTGCCTCGTGAACAAGTACTTGCGATCGACAAGTTCTTTGCCGATCGTTTAGCAGCGGGCCATGTGAGGGAATCAACTTCCCCACATAGCTCTCCGACCTTCTGTGTGCGAAAAGCAACAGGAGGGTGGCGGATAGTGCACGCGTTTAACAAATTGAACGCTGCAACGGTACCGGCTCAGACGCCGATACCGAGGAAGGACGTAATCATTGATGGTATGTCAAAGAGTACCATCTTTTTCGTCCATGGATTTGATGGATGGCTTCTATCAAATCCTAATGCGGGAACGGGATATACCCTATACCGCAGTTAGCACGCCTAGCGGCATGCTCTGGGAATGGCTAGTAATGCCACAAGGGCTCAGTAATGCCCCTGCCACGTTCAACAGGTGTGTATCACATCTGTTGAGGCCAGTACGAGAATTCGCGCCGAGTTATTTCGATGACGTATTCATCCATAGTCGAGCTATGGATGGAAAGTCGGACGTTGAGGTTCACAAGTACCACGTCCGACAAGTTCTTACAATCATGCGAAAGCATCAATTGTATGTAAACCTCAAGAAGTGTATATTTGCAGCAAGCGAAATACCACTTCTTGGGTGCATCGTTGGTAAGAACGGTGTACGTCCTGATCCCGAAAAGATCAAGGCGATCACCGACTGGCCCGTGCCGGTCGATGTCAAAGGTCTTCGAAAATTCCTTAGCTAGCGGCGTATTTGCATAAGTATTCACGCAATTACGCCGAGATGACTGTACACCTCTCTCGTTTGTTGAAAAAGAACGAGAGGTGGTTATGGAACGCTGAATGTCAACGCTCCTTTGAGGGTATCAAGCAGAGCTTGATACAATCCCCAGTCCTAGCAATAGCCGATCAGGACAGGCCATTTCATGTGGTCTGTGATGCCAGCGATTTCGCAATCGGCTGTGCATTAATGCAGTACGACCTTGAAGGCGTTGAACGCGTCGTCTGCTATCAGTCGCGTCAGCTGCAACCAGCTGAGCGGAACTATCCAGTGCATGACAAGGAACTCCTTGCCATGAAGTATGCACTCGCGAAGTTCAGAGTCTATCTATTAGGAGATAGACCCTTCGTTGTTTACACTGACCATGCGTCCTTACGCACGGCAGTGAACAGCCCGCACCTTTCACAACGAATGGCGCGGTGGTTGTCATTCTTTGCAGAATACAACTTTACGGTCGAGTACAAACCAGGACGACTTAATGTCGTCGCTGATGCACTCTCACGTCGTCCCGACTTTGAAACAGTCGCGAAACCCAACAGTGAGACAGTCACTGTTGCGGTTATGACGTCCTCAGTTCCATCTACAACGTTGTATGATGATGTGAGGCGGGCATACGCCCAAGATGGTGAGATAGTGAAGTTGTTGTCACATCTCTCCCAACCATCTCGAGAATCGTTGAAACGATTGTCGTCCGCGTATCGATCTGCATCAGATCGATACACTACTCGTAACGGTTTACTGTACTATACAGCCGTTTCTGGTGACACACCACGTGTTGTCTCCAGATGATACTGATCTGCGTTTGCGGATCATGTTCGAGTATCACGATTCTCCTATAGGAGGACATCGTGGCCGAGAGAAAACATATCTCACGGTAAGTCGAGACTTTTACTGGCCCCGCCAGTATCAGTTTGTGCGAAAGTATGTT